GACCAACGGATACGCCGTTCGCCTACGAAGCGGATGCCAAATAAAACCAACGATTTTTCCGTTTGAAGAATAATGGAGAAGCCCGTCCGCCTACGAAGCGGATGCCAACGAAATATAACGATTATCCCGTTTGCGGCCCAACGGATAAGCCGTCCGCCTACGAAGCGGATGCCAACGAAAGCCAACGATTATCCCGTTTGAAGCCCAATAGATAAGCCGTCCCTTTACGATGCGGATGCCAACGATTTTCCCGTTTAAGGACCAATGGATAAGCCGTCCGCCTACGAAGCGGATGCCAACGAGTTTCCCGTTTGAGGACCAATGGATACGCCGTCCGCCCACGAAACGGATACTAACGATTTTCCTTTTGATGCCCAACGGATAAGCCGTCCGCCCACGAAGCGGATGCCAACGACAGCCAACGATTTTCCCGTTTCCAGACCAATGGATACGCCCGTCCGCCTACGAAGCGGATGCTAACGAAAGCTAACCATTTTCCCGTTTGAGCACCAACGGATAAGCCGTCCGCCTACGAAGCGGGATGCCAACGATTTTCCGTTTGAAGCCCAATGGATGAGCCGTCCGCCTACGAAGCGGATGCCAACCAGTTTCTCATTTGAGGGCCAACGGATAAGCCGTCCGCCCACGAAGCGGATGCCAACGATTTTTCCTTTTGATGCCCAACGGATAAGCCGTCCGCCCACGAAGCGGATGCCAACGACAGCCAACGATTATCCAGTTTGAGGACCAATGGATAAGCCGTCCGCCCACGAAGCGGATGCCAACGATATTCCAGTTTGAGGACCAATGGATACGCCGTCCGCCTTACAAAGCGGATGCGAACGAAAGCCAATTGGCTAAGCCGTCCGCCTACGAAGCGCATGCCAAATCAAACAATTTGTTTCACGTGTTGTACAAGTAGTAGGGCATGTTTCCTTCCAAAATGTGTCTTTCTCCAACGAAACAAGGGATCCCCACACTACGTTTTCACCATGGTTGTACCTTCGCAAATCGGAAGAACGAGTCCCAATGTCAAGGGACGCTTGATTGCCATCCCAGCACTCTGTATCGGGTATATTCATGAGTGTATGCGTGGAATATGCAGCAGTACGCCGCAGTAGATAACATGCATGTGCCCCTTTTATTTTCCCGTCAGAAACACGGCAGTATGGCGTAGCAGCAACGTACAGCAGTAGTATCGGAGAGCAGCAACTAGGCTTCTGCAAACGGCAGCAGGTGACGGCCACATTCAGAACGAAGAGGCAATCCCGTTCTCCATTGTGGGGTAGAGGAATCTCAACAACCCCGCGTTTTACTCGGCTTCCGCCCGGTGCCGCTACATAGCACAGCCCAAACAGCGGGCGTTCCCGGCAGAACCACCAAGTCTATGGGTTTCCACATGTGGATGATTTTGGAAGTTAAGACGAACACATCAACCATCTGCGACCAGGAGCACCTCCACCGAGTCATCGAAAGAGGGCTATCACGCCCATACATGCCGTCTGACCACTGCAACAACAACAACAACAACCATAACAATAACGATGTCCATTCTTTCGGCGTCATCGATCACACTCGTTCGGTACGTGCACCTCCTAGCGGCCCCGTTCCTGTCACCGTTCGGCTGTACTCTGACGCCCGAAAAGGCAACCCCCACCACGAAAAGCGGCACGAAGGCAAACGCACGTCTTGGGTGGGCGGGGCGACGTCGACTGGCAGCGGCCGCGCAGCAGCAGCGGCGGCGGCGGCGGCGGCGGCGGCGGTTGGGGGCAAAAGCGGCAGCCGAGACACCGTCAGGAATAGGGTTAGGGTTAGGAGAAGGAAGATGGATTGGCCGGTGCAAGAGGTGCACGCTCGAACAGTGAGTTTGATGCCAGCGCGGGCCCTGCTTGTTTGCCTTGGAGGAGAACAGGTGTTCGGATAAGGTAGTGTTGTGAACTACAGCAGTGTGCCCTCAATAACGCCGGTGCGTATCCGGCGAATCGAGGGGCGTTATTCAGAGGAACCTGCGCTATTCAAAGTACAGAATTACTTGCTGATTCAATCGGTCCCACCGGCGCTATACAGAGCCACTGGCGATATGTACTACAGGATACGCCAGGACGATTCTGTGCAGAGGGTTAGGGCTAGGGTTAGAGTACAGCAGTCAATCCTGGTGGGGGGTAGACTCGTCGGGGCGCCCGAACGCGCCGCAACGACGAGCATCTTCAGCTTCCCGAGAATGAAGTGGAAGCTGATGCTGCCACAGAGTAACATGTGGTATGGATCACGCATGGGGCTCTTACCCGTTACATGTGCCCACTGTGTACGAACCTGTGCTCGCACCCGCTCCAGGATGGTCTGAGTGTTGATCGTTTCTTGGTGGTTTTCTCCCAGCTTGTTCTTCTGGATTGAAAGGGCCCTCTCCAGTAGTGAAGCCGCCTTGCCGTGCTTCCCCTGTGGGCGTCCAAATTGCAATGGTGTGAAATTGTACCAAGTGCGGAAGTGGTTCATGCCTACGCTTGTGTGACCAGAGGCGAACGAAGTTCCCTTCATTCGGTAGGATAACCGAGTAGCGGATTGGGGAACTGGGCCGAAAAAATGGTGCCGCAATAAGTTGTGTCTTGAAAATTCCGGCAGCTATGTCCTCCTTCAACAAGCTCGCAGACTAGGAGCACACTGAGCTATCGTACCTGTCGGCTCAACAACAACGCACGGTTGCGCAGCGTTATGGCCAAGCCTGGGTGCTCCGGGCCTAGAACCTTCTCCTCTACAGCCTGAGCCCGCTTAAACAGTCGCTCGGCCTTCACGTATTTCCCCTGAGTAAAAAAGGGGGCGGGTTGATGTTAGGCAGAGGTCCGTCAAAACAATTACACCGAAACGCGCGGACCCTACGATTCTTACCTGAAACTCCCACGACTTCGCTCGGTTGTTGAGGGCTAGGCCAACGTTCTGATGATCCCGCCCTAGCCACATCTCCCAGATCTTCTGGGTCCTCTTAAACAACGCCTCAGCCTCCGCGAATCTACCCTGTAAAAAACAAGGGGCAGATTTGGTGAGAGCAGTCAGTTCTCAACGGGAAGATACTCGCAGTCACTGCTGGTGATGTGGGCGCGCAGAAAAACAAAATCCACATTTTTCGGTTGTTGCGTGAGGCGGCCACAAATCTGATGATTCGGGCGCAAGGTCTTCTGGCCGATGCTCTATGACCTCTACCTTGTCCCCAACGTACTATTGCCAACTGAACCAATTGGTGTATGTAAGGCAATAGGCCACCAGCAGTGAAATAAAACCCAGAACTGCGGATGACATATTTCCCGGGAGCATAGTTCGGCTATTGCGTGGCGCCTCTACGCGTACAACTCCGGTTGTTTGAGCCGTACAACATCAGCGGGAGGAACCGAAAAACATCCCTGAAGTCGTTTGTTAATGGGTTTGACCTGTTGAAAGAACGAGCTAGCCCAATTGTTGAGGTCTGCGGCGACGTCCGGGTGGTCAGTTCCGTAGAGTGCCTCGTCGATCGCAACCGAGCGCTTGTACAATGGCTCAGCCTCCTCATACTTGCCCTGGAATGAACAAAAAAGTGCGCGTGGTGAGGTTAGGCTTGCGCAAAAAGAAACCCGATCAACGACCACGGTGCAGGCACTCTATCCAGCCAAAGCATGGTTCCATCGACGACTATTTGTCTGCTGCTGTTACGGTTCTTATGCAGGACCAATCCCTGAGGCGGTGGGAGTTCTGGGCAACCTCCAGGAAGGTGAACAAACTATACAGGTACTAAAGCATTGGGGGGCTGTCCTGACGCGCGTCCAGAGTACCGAGAGCTGCTTGCAGTGTGATCGAACCTATTAGAAACAACGGGTTGAGTCTCATGAGGCAGTCGAAGAGAAGCAACAGGTACAGCACCACCCACGCGTGCTGAAGCACGGGCGTCCTTTACGACGATCCCGCTTCCTGGCACTCGTCCTCTATTAAGCATATTTAAGCACCGGGTCCCAGTGGCTGAGCGGTTTAAGGCAGTGGCCCCGGAAGAACAAGATCTGCTCGACACGTACGTAATTTCCAATATTTTCCGACGAACTACAGTCGTGGCTCCGATATATGAGGTACTGTACTTGATAGGACGGGGCTGCGATATAGGAGGGTATAGGAGGGGGCTCCGATATAAGAGGTTCAAGGACCTTTCTCTTACATCAGAGCCACGACTGAAGTCCGGTTCCCACCTGACTGGTCAACACCCCCGCCAGGTTGCTGAGCGACACGGCCACTGCAGTGTCATCAGGACCCAGAGCTTTCTCGCGAATGGCGAGGGCCCGTTCGTACAGCGGCCTGGCTTCGTCAGGCATACCCTGGGTATCATGACGAATGTGCGGGAAACAAGCACAGGCACGTCTGGGGGAGAAAATAGCGCTACAATCCAGGTTTCGAATACAACAAGGGTGACCGGCGTCCAGCAACGTCTTGCCAACCTCAATGTTTCAACACTTCACAGGAGGACAGGGTGAGCATACCCTGCCTATCTGGCAAGCAGTGGGTTGCTGTGAAGGAGGCGATCCACCAAATATTTACGCAGTTCGACTACGACTGCCACCTACCAGCCGTGCTGCAGCTCGTGGAAAAACCTAGTTGCTTGGCATACAGCCTGTGCTTTTTTGTGATAAGGAATTCGATTGTTCTACGAACAGCCGCGCCTCCAGTGACCTTGCACAATGCAGAGATGTGGAGACGCACGATAACAATGCTACAGAGCCGTCGGTACGTCGTCCGAGCAGCGCCAACGAAACCAAGTTTCGACATCAGCTCGCGTTTGACGGGACCATACTCTCGACAACCAATTCTTCCCCTGTCACCATTCCCCGTACGCAATAGAGGTGTTTCATGTGGCGTTCTACTGTAGCCCCGCTGATTCACCTGTTTCCTGCTGCTGTGGAACATTACTGCTATAGGCATTAGCTTCGGCAGTGATCCTCGTGATGGCGATGCAAAACCATACCACCCCGGTAGCCTATCTTTACGTGTGACTATAGATTGCGTCGATAGTTGAATGACATCATTTCTTCGATCTGCGCCGAACGTGTCGAGCTCTTCTCGAGACAGGACTGCTGGCTTGCTTCGAGCTGCGGTCACGCAGCATTCCTCCGGAGAGTTAAGGGGGGGAGAATAGGACCGTGCTTGAAACATTGTGGCCTTCTGTGCTCGTCCACGATCTCTGTGGTGAGCGTACCCATGCTGAGAGTATTGGCCCCTTGCGGGCAGCGTCAAAGGAAAATGGGAGGGACTAAAAATATTCTGCGGCTTCCGAGAAAAAAAATTCGATCGTGAATACGACGAATTTTTCCACGTTCTGCAGCGTGGATGCACCTACGCGAACGTTACCGAGAACGTTGCCCGACTCTCACCTGCAATCGCAACAACCCCGCCCGCCTGTTGAGCCTCGTCGCAATGTCTGGGTGATCAGGGCCAAGCGCTTTTTCTCCTATCTCGATCGCCCTTAGGTACAGAGGGCCCGCCTCGGTATAGTCACACTGCAGATGTTGATCAACATGCGATATGTGTGCCAATGTAGTGGAAAGTGTGCGATGGGATTTTTGTCAAGCCTAATGTAGTTTGCTGCTCCGGAAGAAGCGCGCAAGTATCCACGCACGGATGGACGTTGAGCATGTCGCAACTTTCGTATGATCCCGTCCCAAGGATGCCTGGGAGATCTCCCGAATCCTCGTGAGCAACAGTTCCGTCGAGACTGCCTAGACATGAGTAGGTGGAAGGCATTGGATCGCCAGAAGCGAAAATAACCTTTCCCCAAAGAACATGGATCCTGCAATAAATATCAAGAATATACCCGCCTCTCACCTGCGTCTCCAACAAACCAGCTCGGTTGCTGAGCCAGGTCCCCACGTTGGGGTGATCACGACCCAGCGTTTTCTCGCCAATCTCAATAGCTTGGCGGTACTTGTGGTCAGCCTGCTCATACTTGCCCTGCGAAATAGACGATAAGGGCGAGTGCGCAGCTTGTTGTAATAGCTCTCTCGTAGAGAACGTATCCGGATAATCCGCGAGAAGAGGCAACCCGGATAGTCAGGCATTTTTCCCAGAATGTCCTCAACGAAGTCGGCGAAAAATACCCCGGCATTAACATTCACTCCTTCCTATCCGGAGGTTTACCACCGTGATGCCCTTGTCGGATAGGCCGGTCGATGTTGGAACACACCGTACAATTCCCTACTAGTACACCTTCCTCTTTAAACCACCCTTGGTGGAACACAAAGACGTTGAGATGTAGCCCCTGGGCAATCTTGTTTCTCTTTGTCACCTCTATGTCATTGACTTGCTCCCGGGCGATGCTACGAAAACAAAAGATGCATGTAGGCGCCCCCCGTGGGGTTCACAGGAAATTGAAGCAATTCATTCCAGCAACACTGCTGTTGTTGTACACTGGTGCTGCTGAAAGCTTTCCTATCACCCTTGTTCTGTTTCTTGACTACGTCCTCGAAGATGTTGTTTAAATCTGGCAAAGCAGCGCGAGAGATCCGCGCAGCAAATTGTGGTCAGTGGGTGTATCGTGTGTCCAGGAGATGTCTCGAAACAGCGAGCAAAACCCCGGAGAATTAATGGCCCAGGCGATTTTTTGGGTCCAAGGATCGCACCCGTACCTTTGAAAAGGCCCTACGCGTTCTGTTTCACAAGGCCTTTGTTCCCCTAAACATCTGTAGGCGCCCCCCCAGGCGTTCTCAACGGGAATTGCAGACTTGCCGAAATACAACAACGCGATGGATAAATGGACAAATGGAACTGTGAGGCTGTCAGCACGCCCCCGCAACTCTCGACTATGGTTTCGGCGAAGAGTGGAGCAGCACGCCGAAACCCGGGGAACCCACGATGCTTCTCGCAAAGTGAACAATATCTGACCTGACTCTCCAACAACTGGGCCTGGTTGTTGAGTCCGACGGCCATGTTCGGGTGCTCAGCCCCGAGTGCCTCCTCCCAGATCTTGATCGCAAGCTCGTAGAGTGGCTCCGCTTCAGCGCACTTGCCCTGGAGGGTGCGTGAGTGAGAAGGGTGGTCAAGGCGAGTACCAGCCGGTACCACCGCAACGGAAGAAGATGTGCACCAACCGCTTCGAGTCACCACCAGAAACGTCCTGTAGAACTCTGCCGGCTTTCACCTGCTCGCGCAATAACTCCGCACGGTTGTTGAAGTCTGCAGCCACTGTTGGGTGTTGTGGCCCAAGAACCGCCTCGTTGATTGCAGCAGCTCTTTTGAAGAAAGGGTCTGCTTCGGAGTACTCGCCCTGGGAAACAGAGTGGAGGGAACAGAGGATAGAAAATATGGGCAGGGCTACACAGACTAGGCGAGCGATAAAAAAATATTGCTTCACAACCCCGATCGGTTGTCGGTTGTTGCAGTCACACCAAGAAAACAAATCAACTACAGTATCATACTTCATGCTTCCACTCAGAGGAGTCCTGGCTCTCACCTGCAGCTGTAGCAACGCCGCCCGGTTGTTGAGCGACTGGGCTACATCTGGATGATCCAGGCCCAGGACCTTCTCTCGAATAGCCTGTGACCGCTCAAAGAACTGTTGCGCATCAGCATATTTTCCCTGTGAAAGTTAGTTGGTACAAGGAAGTGCCCCACCAACGGTTGTTGAGTACGACGTGTATTGGGTGCCGTTAGACATGTCCGTGGCAATGTACTCTCGGCTCTTGCCTTACTCTCCGCCAAAAACGAGGCTCAGTTGCCACACAGAAATTCCTTGGACAATTCTTGGCTCTCACCTGCTGTTGTAGCAACGCCGCCCGGTTGTTGAGCGACTGGGCTACATCGGGATGATCCGGACCCAGGACCTTCTCTCGAATATCTTGTGACCGCTCATAGAGTGGTGCTGCCTCAGCATAGTTGCCCTGTGAAACGCAATTGTGGTTGGTGTCAGGCAATGGCCTACCAGCGGGTGTTGAGATCGGGTGCCATTGGACATGTTCGTGGACGGTAAGGCAGTGGCCCACCAGCAGCTGTTGAGATCGACGACATCTATTGGGTGCTATTAAGCACGTTCGCCAGTAGATATTGCCCGCGGCCCTCACCTTACTCTCCGCCAAGAACGAGGCCCAGTTGTCGAGGACCGTGGCAACCTCCGGGTGCTCCTCACCGAAAAGTTTCTCATTTATGTCCTTGGCGCGCTTGAACAGTCGTTCGGCTTCTTCATACTTCCCCTTGAATGCAACGGAAAGGTGCAAAATAAGGGTGTATAGAAAATGCGAAGGAAAAATTGCTCAACGAAACCCACGGGTGTTGAGCGCCAGGGTCCATCGGGGTGCTCCGAACATGGGGATTTCTCTGGTATTGCGTGTGACCGCTCATAAAGTATCTCGGCCTCAAGATACTTACACGATGAGAGGAGCAGAGGGATGATGTCGTCGTCGATCAAAGCGGGGCATCAGCCAAAACGTTTTTGGACCCGTGGAAGAATGCGAGCAAACCATTGGACTCCCATATTCCTACAACGGAATCTCATCTACAAAAAACTACTCAGCGTTTTCACCACAAACAGGTTGTACGCTTCGATACCTCCAGCGGCTTTTTCTAGTACCGGGCGCATGAGAAAACAACGCCAACCCCCGCTTGTTGAGCTCGATTTTCACGTCTTGGTGATCAGACTATCTCTCCTTTCTCAGAAGGTCGAAGGTACAAATATTCCGCCTCAGCAAGCTTACCCTCCGGGTTATCGTTGCAGACAAACATGATCTGGGTGATGTTAAGAGCAGAAGAAATTGCCGCAAGGCGTACTGTTGGCACTGCTGGGTGATCTGCAACAACAACTCGGACAATATACCCTACAACCCCGAGGCGGCACCACAGCACACTCCATGCAACAGAAAAATAACGATCGCCTTGGATTTCCAGAAAACTAAACCGAACCGCACCTGATTCTGCACCACGATGGCCTTGTCGTTCATCCACACAGCAATTTCCGGATGACCTTCACCAAGGGTCTTCTCTCCGTCAACGATAGCTCTAGTGTACAACGGTTCCGCCTCGTCGTACTTGCCCTGCAACGAGGGGTGGAAACGTGCAAGGAGCGTGGTGGAAGCTATCGATCTCGCTCCGGACCACAGCACTCACAAGCCCCGCGTGATGTCAAAGCGGTGAAGCAAGACCTGCTTGGATATGATTTTGGTGGCCTCTTGCAAAATTCGATTGCTCCAGTGTAGCATATGGTTCTACCTGGAGATAGGTGAACGCCAATCAATACATTGTTTCTTCAACGACTCCGCTCGGTGGTTGAGCGAACAATAATCATGGTTCCACGTGGACTTTCAGAAATCGAGGTGTTTAGAGAACGAAGCACCTCGTATCACGCTGGGAGTCATCATTCCACCAACCACCCATCAATTGAGAACGGGCGGTGATGCACCCTCCCGGTTAATCGTCAACAACATGCACTATGTCACCTGCGGGTGCTCAACCATTTGACACTGCGTCTGTGAAAGTGCGTGTTTAATGCCCTTCGTATGTTGCCGGGTAAGTTAACCTCGCACCTAGTCTATACAAATATCATCCGTGACGCCGCTAATGAGACTCGACCAAGAAAAAAACAAGGCATGATGATTGCCCACACGAAATGAAAAATTGCCGTTAACAAAGGCCTCCCCAGCTAATATGTGAAGGACATGGAGATGCTACCTTCAACAAGCAAACCTACGACCAACCTGTCGCTCCAAACAGTCACCAAGATCAGCCGCCGCTTGAATTTCTTGGCGGAACACCCACTTCCATTCCTTGGTTGCGTTGTCCTTCAAACCTCGAACGGTGCGCTCGGCCTCAGAGAGCGCCTATGAGGGGAGCACAGGAAAACAACCGTGCGACAAATGTGTGTGGCAGTGTGGCTCGATACCGTGTGCGTTGTACATCTACCGCGATTTCCATAACAATAGTCTCCGGGACCTGCGGTAAGCTACGGTGCCATTTACCTTTCTGTGCCCATCCTCTGCATGGGCGTACCGCCCAGCGGAAAGCTGCAAGCGCGGCAGCAAAAACCCGGTCTCATGCCAGTTGCCCTCAGCCAGGTGGATCATCTCATCCATAACCTCGCGCGACAGGTTCTCGAAGAGTTGGTCCGCTACCATCGCCTTAGTCACGTTAAGATCCCGCGCCCACTCGTACACAACGTGCTGATGGCGCTTTAAGTTGTAGAACTCCCGGAGGTGCAGCTGAATCTCGCATAGATGCCCGTTAACAACGGCGTTCAGTTTCACATCCCGGTAGCCGCTGGGCATCCAGTCGGAGATGAACCCGTTAGTGACCCGAAAAATATCTCGTGGCTGCGCAAGGGTAACCGGGAAGCAGAAAAACGGACGGTATCATCAATGCCCAACCTGAATGTGTGAGTGCGCCCACAAAGGCCACCTCTCTCGCTTCCGTACAAGAACAAGAAAGAAGAACAATCTTCTTGGAACGCGAGGGAATACACGAGTAGGCACCTTTCGCAGTGCCCACCATCCACGTTCGCTCCGAGAGCCAGATGTTCCTCGGTACTGCATGTTGAGTTGGTACAGCATACAACCATATGCTATATAGTCGATATCATGGAATCCCATCACTCCCAGGTAGTGCATGAGGAAATACAACGGACCGAGCGATTCTCTTTGCACTCCACGAACAAGGTTGTGGAATGATGCCTTCTGAAAACCTGAACTGGACATCCTGCTGACCTTTAGTTTTCTCGTGATGCCCAAGTATGCCTGCTTGAGGTCCTCCGGCTTCTTGCAGACCACGGACAAGCGAGCCATGTCGGCGACCTTCCGGACGTCTCCGCTATAAAAGTTGACGGTCTTGCGTTCCGTGCTTTCGAGCGACTTGACGTCCGCGAACTGGACTTCACATCCTTCCAGTCCGCCGACAACATTCTGGACGAGTTCGTCCAAACACCGTTTCGCAACTTTGGCGGCCGCAAGGTAGAAACGTAGCTTCTCCGCAAGGTCACACTTCTGCCGTTTTATTTTCTGAGGCTGCAACATGTCCTTCGTTCGAGCCGGGGAGATACCGCGAACGCACTCAAGACCTCCATCCTTGTTGCGCTCATAGCACAACTGGTCATACTCTCGTTCGAAGTGCAGAACCGTCTCGACTTGAAGAAATTTGAGCAAATTGATCATGGCGCATCGTTCAAGGGGCGTCGCAATACCGCTTCCGGGAGCATAATTCTTCAGGTAGGCCTCCACCTGGAGAAGGTCCTCGATGTTGAATCCGCCATACACCTACGGCACAAAGCGAGGGATTTCCAGTAGTGTGGACCCAAACGTTAAAAGAACTAACCGGTGAATAAATAGTGGTTTGTCGCAATGCCCGTAGTATGGTGGAGAATGGCTTGTGGCAGACTGCATCCAAGGAAACGTCAGGGAAGAGAACACCGATCCTTTTCAGAAGCAAAACGCGATGGCGTTGGGTCGTGAGTGAGTGATGACGCAAGGACTTTCGGCGGATGAAAGAACGCCGCCAAATCTATATCGGGAGTCAGTCGGTTGTGTACTGGGGAATCACGATCGGACGGACTGCCACACAAGCAGACTTTGTGGTGCGGGTGCACAGTACCCATGCAGTGAATACTTGAGGCGCTCCCGTTCCTTCGTTTGCACCAAGGCCGGCGCGTCAAATTTCCTTCATGCCTGGACAACTCGCGTAATCCTCAAACTTAACGCCAATGCCGCATGCCCATCGCAGTTGAGGACTCCTCCCAATTCACCACAAGCACCGATAGAGAAAACGGACTAAACAATCAATATGGTGATCCCCACGGGACAACGTGCAGGAGATAAAAATCACGAGGATCTCTCCAAGTCTGGTACCATAGATGTCACCAAGCTATTGGATTAATTCTGCAGAGAGCATAAGAACAATTCGATCCAAACGCCAGGATCTGCCCTCGACGATTGGGCACCTAGGAAGTTAAACCACTACCATGTGGTAGCTTTCAACCCACCTAGCTTAATCCTCCGTACTAATGTTTTTTCAACGTATGGTGGTCTCGATTGATCGTAGCTACTGCAAAGACGTAACGAGGTAAAATTCCATGACCAGTTTCGCCTTCCTCCGCCTTTCAAGCTACTATAACAGCTCGCTTCTTATCGGTGCGAACACCCTGACGTCGTTCAAAGCCGTTTGATAATAATCGACCAAATCCCATCAAGGTAAAGTGGGTGGAAAATACGGCGATACTGATGCAGAGGTGGGTGGAGGAGAAAGAGAGAACTGGTGTCCACGAAGCAAGGGAAATTGTGCTGGCGAGAAGGAGGGTGATGGTGGCACGGAGGAGAAAAATAACTTGCAGCAACGAAAGAGGAGGGAGTTGAAGGAGAGAGAGGGATGTAGACAAGAACGAAGAGACAAAGTAGACAGAGCGTATATATTTTAAACATGCCGATAGACATGCAGCGGGAATGACATCAATTGAGACGTGCCCGTGAAAACGATGGTGGTGATTGTATTGGGAGCAACTGTTTTGGGAGTGAGGAAGGAGAAGGAAAGGGAAAGGGAAGAACGGAGAAGGATGGAAACGGTGATTATGGTGGAGAAAAACATGGCGTGGAAGAGAACAAGAGCTTTGGGCCTGATGACCTTCCTCACAACAAACGCCTCAGGACCATGTGGAGAGGACCTGCCGAAAAGTGGTGGGGATATTGGCGACGAGAGCGGCGGGTGGTAAAAAATGCAGGGAGGGCGATGAAAGCACTCCGAAACGGACGCGCGCCCAAAAGTAGCAGCCATGGTATACACCTGAGTTTTCTTCTGTTTTTGCTACAGAGAGTAAGCACAGCCTCCTCCATGACGTCCCTTACGGGGTCCCAGATCATCACTTATTCTAGAAGCATTGTGTTGTCAACGCACAGCGACTGACGTTTTTTCATTGATCAGCCGGTTAGCACGGTCGATGCCAAAAATACATACAAACACACACACACACGAGTCTTTCTCCTTTGAAAGAAATTGGAAATCGGCTTGTCCGGACAGGACTGCTGTTTCGTCCCAACTTCCTCTGCGCTCCGCGCCCTCCCCTACCGGGCCTTGGGGCGGGGTAACCCGAAGAAAAATGTGCGTCGTCGTTATTCCTCCGCTACTTGACATGTCTTCATTGCTCGGCCGGCAACATAGCGTCATTGATGCAAAAATAAAGAAAAACGCACACGCGTTTGGGTCAGAAAGCGTCGGTGTCTGTCTTTCACACTATGTAAGGCTGGCGCCTGTTTATTTGGTAGCGCGAGCGACGAGAACGCCAAGTTGCACACAAGTTCGCTTACCACAGCATGCTCAGCATCGCTGCCGCCGCCCTCGCTTGCTCCGCTCATGGCACCTCTCCCTCACAGCAAGTATGTGCGTGATCCGCGCAATAAGGTGGCTACTTGATATCAGGGTGCTAACAACGTAATGCCGTTGGGCTGGGTTGGGTGAAGAGCAGCAGTGCAACAAGTAGTGTGACAAGTGCAAGTTCTCTTGCGGCAAGCAGCAAGCAGCAGATACACTGACCAATCAGACAGCTTCCTTTGTAATTGCGGCGCAATTACTGTCTGAGTTGCGAAGTGCCGTTGTGTGGGTCATTGTGTCACACTGCTGTGATACAAGACAGACAAGCAGTGAGGCGAAACGAGAGCAGAGAGCGAAGGGCAGAGAGAGAGAGAGAGAGAGAGAGAGAGAGAGAGAGAGAGAGAGAGCACGGAGGTGTGAGGAAAAGGAGGAGAAGTGGGCGAAAAGGGCAGCGCAGCGCGTGCACCTAAAGTGGCTGGAGGTGAGGTTTACATAGACTACAGATAGGCAGTTTACAACAGCAAGTATCTACCAAGGATGGTATGCCGAGCAATATCAGCATCTGTACCTACACATGTGTTTCCCGCCCAGAAGCGATGGTGGGAAACTATGTAGTGTATGCCAACTGGCTCTCCCATCCTTCATCCGATAGTATATTTTACACTGTAGCGCATAGCAAAGTTGCCCCGTGTGATTTTGTCCGTGGCTTCCGAGCCTGCACCGGACAGCTCCCTCCGACCCACTCGCTCGAAGTGGTGGTTGTCAATAGCGTGATCCCGCGGATGCATCAAGATAACAACACCGCAAGGGTAAGACTGATGTCATAAATAGAACGGCATAAGTGTGGCCGTTCTACAACACTTGGGCCTAGCTACACAGCAGGCGGTGGTTTCTAGCCAACTCAATATTATGTTGTTTGCACGCTCCTGGAGCGGTGCCTTAACACTGCTATTGTAGAACCTGGTATTGTTTCGTACATTTCGCAGTATGAGTACTGCTGTATTCCTTTCTGGTTGCCTAGGTTACGCAGACGGAGTTCTGTAGATCGGTCGATTTTCTCCATCGTGGGGCTCCACTTACGTACATCAGCATCAAAGAGGACCGCTGTGCTGATACACACCGCGAAGAGCATTGGCTGCGATGCCCCAAGTCAGAACGAGAAGCGCAGACAGAGGTGACCCCTCATTCCTCATGAAACGTAGTTCTTTTTCTGGAACAGAAGGTTACTTTTTCTCCGCATGTGACCGACAACGCATTGCCTTATTGGACAGCTTTTCAACTACGACGGATGTACCTCACGACAATACGAAGCGTTTTTACTGACACCTCCTTGCCCCGCCCCTTATCCCATCGGTGCGAAGGGCTAGAAGGCATGCCCAACCCCGTTACGCAACCGGACATCGTCTTCCGCCTGATGGAGTTCGTGGGTGGCGAGCAGTACCTCTTCTTTGCGGGGGTGTCTCGGACCTGGAGGGACGCGTGGGAGGGACGCCCGACGACCACGCGTGCCGTCACTGCCGACACGGGGGTGCCCCAGCTGTCGCAGAGCTTCGAGTGCGGCCTGGCGCGGCGGAGCACGGTATGCCAAGACATTGCTGCCCTCGGAAGGCTTGACCTTCTCGTGTCCGCTCGCGAAGAATACGAGTGTCCCTGGGATGAGGACACGTGTTCGTACGCGTCCGAAAACGGACACGCTGACGTGCTTCGATGGGCCTTCGCGAACGGTTGCCCGTGGGATGCTGATACCTGCACCATGGCTGCTCGGCACGGTCACTACTGTGTACTCAAGTGGGCCCGCAGCAACGGCTGCGACTGGAACAGCGAAACCTCCAAGCTAGCCGCGGTGGGGGGGAATTTCGAAGTCATACAGTATCTGCACAAGCATGGGTGCTCGTTGGATGCTGACACCTGCTACGGAGCAGCCCGTGCTGGACACCTGAAAATCTTGATGTATTTGCGTGCCCATGGTTGCGAATGGGATCAATGGACAACTGCTGCAGCGGCTGCCCAGGGACACCTAACTATTCTTTCTTGGTCTCACCAAAATGGGTGCGTCATGGACGAGGATGTGAGTTATTTAGCAGCCCAAGAAGGTCGCCTAGATTGCATTGAATATGCGCTGGCAAACGGTGTCCCATTGCATGCGGAATGCCTGCAAGCCGCCAGGGAAAGCGACCATGCTGACATGGTGAATTGGTTGGTAGCAAACGGCTGTCCCGAACCCTAGAGCTTGCGCTTCATTTGATGTGCTGCGTCGGACCTTGCGATTGCCAATCGGCCCAACCTTGAGACGTTGCAAGATCTGCATCGAAGACCCGGGTGTTGAGACCAGGTTCATCGGGTACATAGGTGAGGGAAGAGGTGTTCAGGACGAGGGTCCCGCGGTTTAGGGGGGGTTATATGAAGATTGTGGAAAGGAGGTGGGTCTATTTGCTGTGACCGCCCTTCCTTTTGTGAGCCCGCTGGCAAACAGCAAAGGGTTTCAGATGAGTGAGAAGGAGCAGCACGGACGACCGGAAACGAGCCTTGTTTCCTGTATTGCTCGCCACTCGCGCGCAGGGTCAAAAGCTGCTGCAGCAACAGTAGTCGTCAGTCAATCGCAAGAGCGGGGTCAATCGAGGACGTTGTTCGAACGTGCAGTTCGCATACATATACGTGCACGTGCAAACCTTTTCGTACCATAGGGCCCAACGCATCTGTCATGAGGCGCATGTGCTGTACCGATCTACCGAACGCTTGGTGCAGGTTGTCTTTCCCTTCACAAAGGTATAAGCATCATAACTGACCGGGTATAAAAAGTAGGGCCGCTTGGGGGGATGGGAACCAGTGATGTGAGGGACAGAGAAAACGTAAACCGTGCTTTGCGTGTGCATTAGACACATGTACCTTGAGTGCGAAATTGACAAGCGTATTTCATTGCAAAGAAGACAAACGCTTGACATGCGTGTCACGGGGAGTCTGGCCAACAATCACGCGCGGCACTATGTGACTTTTTTCACGTGGAACAGAATGCAACCAAGCCAAATCTGCATTAATTCTTGGATACCTCACACTCATCGTCTCCCATGGAAGCTCATTTTTCGAGATCTCCTGCATTGCAACGGGCATCACGTTGATGACGTTGACAGTCATCTCCCCGTGCAGCAGTGTTTCCATGCGATGGTGCGGCCACACCCACAAGGGAGCTCCTTCTCACCCTCACAAAACGCCTCGATTCGTGCGTACAGCAATTCTGTTCTGGTCCACGCCTGCGGGGCTATGTCCCCGTTGTCCGCATACAACAAGCCTGGACCAGTCCCAATCGTCGAATCTCAATCGTTTGCACAAACAGCAGCCCCAGCCATGTCTGCTTCAACCGTCGTGCCGTTAACAGTACCAGAGGGTCTTCGCGGTTGGAAAACGAAGTGTAGAAGCACCCGACCCACCCAACACAAATGAAATTTCGCCGGCACAAGAAGGGAACGGAAAGTGAAGACCGGACCAGGACAGGGCCACCCGTGAAACGTGTCCAAGCTGCATTATTCTCGAATTTTACACCCCCGCAGCCTCCACGCGAAATGGCGTGTTAGTCTGGACGGGTCGCCTTCTTGAGTCTTGGCGGACACCTCCTACCATTCATTTTCCGTACCAAAATCCGTTTTCCCTAAATCAAATTTCAGAAAGAGCATCATGTGGAGGATTGAATACTCCCTTGCAAAGATACATAATCCTTGTGCATTACTGGTTTTAACCCGATGAAAGCTGAAAATTCTTACGATGTCATCACAATTCGCAAGGATTTCCCTAGTGTGGTAAGACAATCGCGAGGCCTGTGTTGCGTGCCTTCCTTCTGCTTCGAGGCTCTGCCGAGAGCAGGCTTGGGGGCACCGCGATAACAGGCGCAACAACACAAAACGCGAAACTTTCACCAAAATACGGGAACGCCACAACAACCCCCACTGCGTCCACGCACTACTGCTCGCGCTGTCCGTAGGAACTTCTCTCCTTCAGTGCGGAGATCACCTTCAGATAGGGGCACAATCGCCCAAAAAGTCTCTCTGTCGAGGATGACTGATTCCCTCTTCTCACATCAACTGAGATCCTTTGTCGTTAGTCCAGGAGCGTCGCCATTCTAAGCGCTTCCTTCGTTCTCGCCGCCCCCTGTCTCGTAGGCTTGCTGAGAATCTCGTACACCTCGTCGGGCTGGTCCCAGTTGGAAGGAGAGTCCTTGTCCACGCCGTATTTCATTCTGAAAATGCACCCAAGGCGGCAAATGGCAGCAGAGTTGTTCGATGTAGGACAGATCGTGCACATACATGGGGCGGTGAAATTGCAGCACGTCCGCAATGACCCGAAACCTAACAACGACCTGACTCTTCACTGCAACTAGTGCGGTAATACATTGCCAGATGATCCTCATGATCTCGCGTGTCGGGTTGGTCCGAATACAGACGAGGAGACTTCTTGCCCGCACCCGTTGTCTGTCTAGGTGGAAACAGCGAAGTTTCTGCACAAGTTTGTGGTGTGGGCAATTGTTGTACATTCAAATTGTTGCACGCATGAAGAGCCGACGAGGTAAGGTGGCAAAATGGTCCAATAATTAGCTTGCAGGCGTTTTGTTTGCTACTATGCGGTCTGAAACGACCAGACTAACAAGGCGACTGGTCCAAGTCATGGAGGCAGGGGAATTTTCTGTCAGTTCATGCCGCGCTCCACCTTGATATCGAAAATCAACCAAGCTCTGTATGATTCTTCCACACCGCCAGGTTTATCCGACACCCAACTGGAACTCACTTCTTGGTGTAGAACGACATCGCCTGTCTGTTCTCCTTGAAAACCGTCAGCATCACCTTCGTCATGCCGTGGCGATTTGCTAGAAGCTGACAATACGCCAGGGGGGGGGGGAGAGAGAGAGAATCGACATATTCAATCATACATGAGAGCTGGCAATGTGTGGCGTGTTTCAATTCTTGCTTGCCCTAGTCATTCCGCCATGGGCAGCGCATCCCCTGTTCGACATGCAGCACCATCCGCTCATACTGCACCGAGAGACATCACAGCCACGGTGTTTCTGTGTGTCTGATATGTTGTAACACAGGTAAAAAGGTGGGAGGGGGGTGAAAGCCTCATGCAGAAGCCACACAGAAATATAATTGATTCACTTATCACACCCTCGCGTGCGCACGGTAACCCTTCGAGGTCACGACCGCAAAAATAAGTTCTCAAGAAACACAAGGTGGTTATAAAGAACCATCATTTGACGCCCGTGTTGATACGATAACCACACCTCAATGGCCTGCATCATTCGCCGCCCCAGGCCCCTCCGCGTCGCCCAAGGCGCCACCTGCAACTCGTAAACGTACAGCACGTCCTCCATTCCTCCGACTCCCTCCCCGTCCTCATTTTCGTCCTGATCCCACGCGAAACGAAAATCGCAGTAGCCGGCGATTCGTTCTCCTGCGCCCCCCGGCTTTCTCTCCTCTCCCCCCCGTGAGCGTGCCCTTGCTGCCTCCTCACTGTCAGTTGCCCCCCCCGCACCATTCACCGCGCTGCTCTCGGAAACTCCCTCTTCTGCTACTCTCAACCTCGCCACCCCCACCGCTGCCGCCTCTGGACCACTGTCGTCTTCAGTGCCGCAACGAGCGATCAAAAATCGAGAGTCCCGATGCTCCATCTCTCGCCACTTCTCTGCCTTGTTCCAGCCCCAACCGGCCGCCATGTACATGTCGTGCATGTTGCTCTTGAGGAGGTCGTACATGACTTGTGTGTCTCCGTCCAGCAGGGTCTTCGGCGACCGTATCTCGAGGCGGACAGGTTCGGCGGGAACAGGCGTCGGCGCAGCAGCGCCAGACACGGCAGCGGCGGCGGGGAGGTCAATGGACAGGAAGGCTTCGAGCCCGGCCGAGAGATCAAGAGTGGCGTTGGCGGCCTCGATCCTGGATGCAGCGGCAGCTACGGCCGGCGAGCGCTTGGGAGCTGCAGGCGCCGCCGCCTTCTTCTTCTTAGATCGTTGCTTCTTTGCGCTCGGCATGTCTCTTCTGTCTTCGGGTTTGGAACTGGCAGCCTTTGGCGCGAGCGGGTGGCGGCGATGCGGAGTTCGTGCTGTCGTGACCGGAGGCCGTCGCGGGAGGTGCTGGTTGTGGATGTCTTTGTTCTCGCTGCTTTCCCGAGAAAGAGCAACCTGCGCGTTGAATGGTGTAGGCGATTCTGAAGCTCATGTAACGTTGTTCATAGGGTGCGCAGGCAGCAGCAGCAGTTGCAACCAACCTCTATGTTGTGGGGACCTTGGCGGGGGGCATCACTCCACTTCACCTCACACCATAGGGGTGTGACGCATCGCACGTACTTGCGCCAACTAACTGCTGTGTACACAACTCCCGAGACTGTCTTTCTCGCATTAGTAGACTGCTGTGCCGATTTACTGTCTTGCTGAGCTTCCAATACCCCGTTCCCTCCGGTCTGTCTTGCCTGTGTCTCTCACGCGCTCCTGCTTGAAAAAGCCCGATTACTGATTACAAAGATATACATTTCCAGCCCTTTTTTCCCCACGCTGAACGCCCACACACCCACGTTCCTTCGTTTCTTCAGTGGGAAGGAATGAGGACTTGTCCGATACCAAACTTTGCTTTGTAGTATCGACGCTGTGGTCTACATAACACCTCTCCTTCTCTTACCTTCACCTCTTCTCTCTTTCTCTCTCTCCCTCTCAATCAATCAAGTTTTTCTTTCACATGCCCTTCTCGGCCGAGCATGGCCGACAACTAACAACCCTTTATCTCTCCCACTACAGCCGCACGGGCAGGCCTCACCTCGCGCATCTTACCCATCACGCCTCATCCAGGACGTGTGGGTGTGTGTTGAGCCCTTGGGCACGACATACTGTCGGTCTACTATGCCACGATTCCAGAGAGAAACGCATGCAAAACGGCGATGTGCCTCTTCTCTCTTTCGCGAATGCAATGAAGGCTCGCGCTCTCTCTTCTTAGCCCTACATACACAGCAAGCACTGCTGTACGCACTGCTGTACGCACTGCTGTACGCACTGCTGTACGCAGGAGTGCAGAGGATGGGTTTAAATTTTGAAAAGCAATTTTTGAAACTCACCTCGAGCGTAACTTTTGAGTCTGGCCAACACCCAAAGGAAGCTCAAAGGTGAGGCCGGCAACACAACAAGATTGCCGCGTAGTATAGAGAGCAGAGAGAGGGAGAGGTGGAGAGGGATAGCCACTGTGCCGGCTGCTGGCTGTCGCATTGCACACCCCTTTCACCGCGCACGTGGTGTCGGACTGCACGTGTCGGGAGGCTGGAGACGGAGCTCCGCAGAATACAATTTTTCGATGTGGGGTACCCAGGAATTCCCCTTGATCACGAAAAACGCAAGGCGGCGTGTAGAGATGAGGGACTGTCGACGTTGTTGCTCGATGTGTTTGCGTCACGGCGGTTTGGCGATTGCACAAGAAGAAAAGTGCATGTACTTGTAGCGACTAGCGAGTCGACCAGAGAGGACTGAATAAGAAAACACACGCACACACACACACACAAACAGTCAACCCATCCGCAGGTCGAAGCATCGACAAGTCGATCCTAAAGCCAGGATCCGCCCTCGAAGATCGAGCTGCAAGTAAGGCAAATCACTATGCGGGAACTTTCAACCCGTCTAGATCTACCCTCCTTACCTGCTTTTTCAACGAATGGTGGTCTTGGCAAAGGCCCCAATCGACTCATCGTTGCTATCGCCAACTGCTTAGCGCACGAAGCTTTTTGCCGGGGGAATTTTGACGACGAAAGAGCCTTAGTTCGCCTGAAAGCTTTTCATACTATAATAACAGGATTCGGAGACGGTTCAGCTTCGAGCTAGCTCGTTTCCTGTCGATGCGAACTCGCGATGTGTTCAAACGTCATGGGCTACTGATCGACCAACTTCGGCCAAGACCAATCGGTTGGGATCTCTGCGACAACGATAGTAACGGGGGTAATTCTTTTGGGAGTGACGGAGCCGAAGGAAAGGGAAAGGGAAGAAAGGAGGACGAAAACGACGATGGAGGAGGAAAACATGGAGGAGTGGAAGAGAGCAAAGGGTTTGAGCCAGATTACCTTCCCCAAAACAAGAAACGTAGGGCTAGGGGAGAGCTGCCCAGAGATTCTTGTCAAGATGAGGATCAGAATGATGGTAGCGAAAACAAGGAGGATAATGGTGAAAGTACTCCTAAACGAACTAGAGTACAATGTAATAGCCCTCGTAGACGCGTCCAGTTTTCTTCTGTTGCTGCTGTTTCTGTCTTTGATCCGAAGGATAGTTTAGCCTCCCCCATGCTGCCCCCTCACGGGGTCCCAGTTCATGGCAGATAGAAGTGTTTTGTGTTTTCAACCGCACTAAGACTGACGTCTTTTCATTGGTCAGCCGGTTAGCGCGGTCGATGCTAATAATAAACACACGCACACACACAAATAATCCGTCGAGGACTTCCATGTGAAGAGGACAAGATAAAAAAAATGACGCCGGAAACAACACCATACAATATCTTGGCAGATTTCTGCTGACGGAAGGTTGAATCTACGCAATAAATATACCCAGGTTTCTGCTGTGCGTCCTCCAGTGTCCTGCAATAGCTCCCCAGAGAAACAACAATATCGATACCGAACCACTACACTCGTCGGCTTCCCTGTACAAGGATCATGGGGGGTGCTGTGCCGTTGGTATGGGACACCATGACCGATGTGCACAGGTGGACGTCGACCCCCCTTCCCCAAAATGTCGGATGCCTTCGCCCCCTTGTGGAGACCTTGACAAGGTCGAATACCTTGGAGAAGACAACCAAGGCCTCGAAAGGGGAGAAATCGAGGTATTTTTGAGGCCTTGGTTGTCTTCTCCAAGGTGTTCGACCTTGTCACGGTCTCCACAAGGGGGCGAGGGCATCCGATGACATTTTGGGGAAGGGGGGTGGACGTCCACCTGTGTGGTCAAGAATCAAGGGGGACAGGTGGTACAGCTTGTGACATCGACGGATGCTCGATTTTTCAGCTCCGCTCCGTCCCGACAGCTCGAACGACCGCGTCATTTCAACGCCTGGAAACAGCCCTGTCGGCCGTCACTCTAGCAGCACAATTTTATTTCTCTCAACCTTGTACTCCTAACTGGACCAAGTGTACAAAGAAACCAGCGGCACTTCGCACATGTATACGTACATGCGCACCATTTCGCCTGTTTCCGTGCCTTGGGACATATTTCGCTGGAGGAAGGGAGTCTTTTCTCACCCCCCCTTCTCAGAGGCACGCACGGGGATCGTCGGTTCATTACCGCGCACGCCCGAGGACCGCCAACCACCCGTGGCGCGTGTGCTTGACGCCCAAAGCTGAAAAACTGGCTCTTTTATTTGGGGACGTCTTCCGGGCGAAGAAAACCGTCGCAAGAAATACCCAAAAACTGCTTCGTATTAAGCAAGACTTCTGATGCGTGCGCAACGCACACGTGTCCCACAGACCATGGCAACACGAATACGTTAGAGTCAGCGATCAAACGCAGCGGGTTGCAGCAGTAGGACCTGCAGCAAAGACACCACCACCCAAAACGCACACACTCACGCACACGCGAAAAGTCACGGCGAGAAAAATATATATTCCCCGCACATGATGCAAATTCCAGGCAATAATTGCAGACTGTACGCAAAGCCGGCGCTAAGGAACGTCATGACATTGAGATGCAACGATGCGACCGCGATGGCATTGGCCATTATGTCCGCTTACATCGCCCCAGGGAGGCAATCCACCTACCTCCCGAAGGAGAGTCTCGTACTGCTGTAAAACTTGACGATTACATTTTCTCCCAACCAGGACTTGCATATTCAAGTCCCGCACGACGGGCCCAACTTTGTCATAACGGCTACCCGGACCAGCCATTGACCAACTACTGCTATAGACTACCGCATTCCTCAAGGGTTCCGCATTTTGAGCCGCTGCCCAGCTTACCGCGACATACCCAGCTTACCGCGACATACAAAAATACCCAAACGCCGCTGCACTACAATCTGAACACGACGATGTGCTCTTGATATGCTTCTGAGATGGAAGTGCACCCGCTTGAGGACTAATGTACACACCAAATAATTTACTGCTGCACGCACAAGCATCACCACTCTGTCGGGTGGAAATTTGCGGTGCAAACGCACCCCGTGCACCACGCACTGTACGTACCTCTGTCTCTCCAAACAATAAGCGAAAAAGTCAGTAAAATAATGTTAAACACAACGTAAAAAACCAGCAACCAGTAAATATTTACTCCATAAAAAACAAAATTGGAGCGACTCGCCTACGGCCCAGCACGATCGCCCGTACCGTATTCTTGCCGGCGATGACCGAAAACATTTCCTTTGGGATTAGCTTGTTGCCGCAACAGCGGCACGGGCAAACGCACAGGAGTGACTTCGATTCTTGTAGGTAGATCGATTGTTCCAGGGTGCAAACCCGACCAACACTTGCAAGAAAAACTATCGACGACAACATTGAAAAACCTCCCCTTTTTTCGGCATTGTCAGTCAGCCTCTTGGCTCTAGGAGCAATCGATCCTTATAAATCTATCGCATCCCTGTGCGTTCCCCTGCACTTGTACAGAACCTCAACACCTAAACTTCTCCTCCTACGGTAACAGAGGGTTGACATGAGGTGAAAAACAAAACTTATTGGCAACTCTTACGGTCTCCATGACGCACCCTCACTGCTGCCGTGGTCCTGCGGTCGTCGGTAAATCACCTGACCGGCACACAAAACAAGGGACGTTTTGGTCAGCGTTTACAAATAAAACGCAAATCAGCGCTAAGAACACAAGCGACAGGGAACAGCGGGCACGGGTGTGGGAGTGCTTCATGGTTAGGCGGTCTGGCCGCCGTTGTTGTTGGCCAGCTCGTCCGCACTCACCAAAGCGGGACATTGAGGGGGCGCCAGGATTGTACCGCACGGACGAGATGGTTTGCATCTATAACACCATCACCCACACACCACCGAACAAACACCATGATATCCAAGCACCAACATTAAGCCCTTGCCAAGGCAGAAATGTTGGGGGAGCTCTCGGTACAACCACATCGAAACGTTGTAATCGAAAGGCCGAAGAGGTTCCTGTGAAAGATCTTTATTGAATTTGCACTCCAACTCCGATCGTCCCTTTGCCGTACTTTGTAGACGCAGTCGGCAACCAGTACTACCTCCATGTCCCCGGGAGGTTTGAGAATGATAGAGCGAGAATCGTTTCGAGCACACCTTGAGCTCGGAGTCAAGGTGGAGAAAGTCTCCGCTTCGTGACCGAATCTCCACCCTCAGGTCCACCTTTGACGCAACAAGTGCCGCGAATTTCATTGAGTGACGCACAACATTCGAGTGGCGTGTGAGACAAGGTAGGAGGTCCGTCCTACAAGCTGGGCACATGTGAACGTGTTGGACACGGTACCACGATGTTGTCGGACAGACAAGGATGACGGACGATTGAGGCAATAATCAAGTTGGTGATTATTTGTGCTTCTTCGTCTGGGTCATCAGCAAAACGTAGGAAGAAAATTACATTTTTCGATCGGCTGATGTGGTAGGCTTGGCGCTCTTTCTACTCGGGAGGGGTCTGACTGAACGTGAGGCTATGCCATGCCACTGTGGTTGGAAGAGGGAAACCTAGCGCGTGAATTTCGAAGAGGAGACTCTGCTCAACAGGTTGCCGAACGTTGTTGTTTAGAGGGTGAGATTGAAAGATGTCGCGGAGCTTTCCACAATATCAACCATGTGAAAGCCTCTCGACACATTTTTGGTACTAAGACGGTACCAGCATCGCCAGCGTAAGAGGACGCTATGGTTGACCGAAGCACGCAACGTTCTTGGGCGCTAACACAACATAGCCTGCACAACAGTACTGAACCCACCTGTACCACTCGAACTGCTGCCGCACTGTAGACCTCCGGCCATAGATCCTTCATGCTCGGGCATTGCACTCCCCCATACACGCGCCCGTTTGGCCCCGCCTGAACTCAAGCAAGCAACCGATGTGCCACAGAACATGACGTGGGGGTGGGGTGGGGGGTCTTTCGCAGTCAGCGGGCGCACGGACTGCCTGCATTCACATTCAACGGGAAAGTTGGCGTGGGTGTGCTCTCATGGCAACGACGCGTTTCTCGCCTAGGTATGTATGTATCAACAAATACGTCTTCCCCCCCCCACCTACAAAAATAAACGTGCCGGGTCTTCTTTGCGCCTATACCTCTCTTGCATGCCTGACATTTTGTGTTGTTATTCTCGTCACAAGTACGATGGATAAAATGGCGTTCGATGTTTCTCGGTATCATTTTGCTTCATCTCTCTTGCGGAAGAGGAAGAGCTCCGATCGGGCGCCACGCAGAATTGCACTTTCGTTCTGCGGTAAACCCGTTACCATGGTATGTTTTTCTATCGCGCGAAGGGTCCAGCATTTTCTTCTCGGAAATGAACCGACCTTAAAAGCACGTTCCACACAGTTGCATGAATCTACGAAGGGTGGGCGCATGCCTTACCGAATTTCTGAACAATGCGTAGTACTTCACGACTTTAGCCACTGCAAGGATATTGAAGGTTAACAACTTCAGCAGTGGTGGCGGTGCGATGCAGGTGCGATCCAGCCGATTTTACCGGCATTAAAGCGGGCAACCGAAATCATTCAGAGTATGAAACAACTTGAATATCCCATCTGTGCCAGGCGATTTCACCGGCATCATACCGGGCGACCGGCAGTATACCGGGGTCACTACTGTAGACCACCCGTCCGACCGGCATGGCGTGTACGAAGCAAAGTACTATCGTCGAGAGAACGACAAACGCCGTCCCGGGGAAAACGACCAACTGCTTGGAGCTGTCGCAGCCACCGGAGAACCGTTCCATCGTCCCACCGCCGCGAAAAACGCCTGCTACAAGCAGCACGCGCCAACGAAAACACTAACTCAAAACAGGCGTTGAAACGCCGGTTTTCTTGCCTGCAGCTCGCCAACCACCCGTTGGGCTTTGCGTTCGGCGTTGACCGAGAAGTTCACCCTTGCGGTCAGCGTCCGCAAAGGCTGTCCCGCCTCTTCCAGCCCGGTGAACACAAGGTACTGCTCTCGGTCTTGATCCTGGCCTTCGTCGTCGCTACAAGGCATGCAGAACGCCTCGGCAAACGGGGACTCGTTCGGCTTGGTCAGCTGCGCCGTGCGGCCCTCGAAGTCCAATTCCTGGATTTGTTGTGTTGTTGTTGTTCTTGTTGCTGTCCTTCACATTAATTGTTGTCCTTCACATTAATAATCGTTCCGGTCTCCGCTCGGTACGTTCTAATATCCGGACTGGCCCACCTGACTCGGGTGCCTTCCGTGGTCACAAGGGGAGTGTTTTGACCGGTGCTCATCGCGACAAGAAAATAAAGGGCAAAAAACAGTAGATCCAGCGATAAAAGCACAAGGTCCACACGGCCAAAAATCATGCGTTCTTGGACCTAGGCTCCCTAAAAGCCCAGTTTCGTGTCGCACGTGCATAATTTCTTCTCTTAACCTTGTGTTTCCCCAAGGTATCGGCAACGCTTGTAGTTTCACCTTGCTGACTATCACAAGCACAACATTGTTTTGTTGGCACCGCCGCGGTTAGAGTGGTACGATCTGCGCCACGTATGCTAGAATGCTTTGCGACAGAGACAACAGCCGTACAGAAGAATCGAAAAACGATTGATGAGTTCATCGTAAGCCTAAAAGTCGGCTTCAAACGCTTCATGCTTTGCCGCAAAAATAAGCCCGTCTCGCCCGCTCACCTCCCGCAACGTTTCAACAGAAACGCGACCGACGACTCGCTTCGGCTGTGGTGGCGATGACTCCTTCTCCCGCTTGTTCGTCGCCTTGCGTGTTTCGTCTGTGGCCGGCCCGGCTGCTGCTGCAGCTGCTGCTGCTGCACGAGCGCCCCACCCGACACCGCAAGGTGGCATCGGGGCCCCGCCGAATCCTCCCCCCTCACCGGCCGCGTCGCCCCCCGCCGAGCAGCCCCCCGAACTACAAGGGTCGCTTTTCTCCATCACGGGGCCGCTGTCACTCGTGCTGCTGGAGGGTAACGGAATCGCGGCGCTACCGTTCAAATCATTACGTATCATGCCGCAGGCAGACCGTCGACATGAAGAGGCAGGCGCCTTCACCTGAAGCGGCGAGAGTTTCGTCGGGCTACGGACACCCGCCGTGCCGGGGAAGAGTACGGCATGGACGTCTATCGATTGCGCACGGGGGAGGAGGGAGGGTCCTACCGTGAGGGGCGAGAGGCTGAAGGTTTGTCGGTCGACCTCCATCGCCGCCCGTGCGTTGCCGCCGTCGCCTTCTTCGTCGCAAAGGTCAATGTTCCACCAAGCACCGGTGTCATCTCCGACGGGCTCGTCTCCTGGGGGGGTGTTGCCGTTGATGCTTCGACAACTGCCCCCCCCCACTACCTCGCGACTCCAACGCGAGGCTGTGTCTTCGCCGTATGCCCAGCTCGACTGCTCCATCCACCTGATTTCCATGGTGCAGAATTTTGGTTTGGCGGGGAGGGGGCGTACTCATATTTTGCAGGGTATTCGTCGGGAATTTTCCCGACGTGTTTTACCGCCCACGGTAGGCGGATCCGGTAATTGGCGGTATACCGCCGAAATTCGCGTTACCGCCTACCGCCGAAGGCGGTACCGCCGAAAAAGCAGATACCGCCTACCGCCAAAAAACTACCGCCGTATTTGGAACCGCCTAAAAACTACCGCCATTTTACGCGATACCGGATACCGCCAAAAAAGTACCGCCGTGTTGCGTACCGCCAAAAAACCACCGCCATATTGGCTACCGCCAAAGCTATACCGCCATATTGGCTACCGCCCACAAAATACCGCCAAATTGGATAACGCCACAAAGGTACCGGCAAAAGGTCAGTGTTGGTTAAACCGTTCAACAGGATGATCACCTGATGGGAAGAACTGGAGTTCAATTCTCGCCAATGTCATTTGTTTCTTTCTTTCGATTCATCTGGAGTTCATTTTATATTTTTTGTTCCTCGTCGGTAGAACCTCGATGGTGTGCACTGTGCACTGTCGCATGGACCACAGCAGAAGCAGTGTAGATGCACACACGCACCCACCGCGCAGCGCGTGTGATGCAACAGAACGATGAGCAATTTATCCGGGAGTGTTAGTGCTTCTTCTAATAGTGCGGAGGCTGCGAATGCTGGTGTTGCTGATTCGGGGACGCCTTCTTCTGGCAATTCGGTGGTTGCCATAAACGATTCGGTGGTTGCTGAAGAAGAAGAGGAGGTGGTGTTGCAACCCCCACCACCCCAGCCTGAAGCCACGATTCCCTTTGCTGCTGTAGACTTGTCTTAGCGTTTTTTCGTTTTTACGGTCCTTGGTTGGTCTGATACTAAAAAAAAAAAATGATCAACATGCCTACACCATCCGGTGATTTGTGATTTTGTGTCTCAGCCTTTTATGCTTCTGTCGTCTTTAGTATTGCAGAAAGCTGGTCAATTTACTATACTTCGAAGTGTACAATTTACATGTAATCGCTTTGTCTACATGCATTGCGTGCTTTGCATTTCTGGGGTGACATGGTGGGGAAGAACACAAGAATATACTCCGGAGTTGTCAGAAAAGATATGCACCTAGTCTCGCCGGAAAACGACTAACGGAACACCGCTGCTGTAACATATCTTGTGCCGGACAGACAATTGCGAACCGCCGGCGGCGTTCCCGACATTATTCGCGTTACCGGCAACCGCCGAAGGCGATACCGCCGAAAAAGCAGATACCGGCAACCGCCGAAGGCGGTACCGCCGAAAAACCAGATACCGCCTCCCGCCAAAAAACTACCGCCGTATTTCATACCACCGAAACTGTTACCGCCCAAAAAAACGCTACCGACGAATACCCTGATATTTTGCATGCCTTCCAGCGGTTTGAACATTGACCACGCATCCTCGAGAGGACGGAGCATGGGAGCATTCAGGGGAAGGGGGTGATATCTTGATCGGTGCAAGGATTCAAAATGGGAGTTGGGATACACATGTACCACCCAACACATGTAGGCTCAAAAAACAAACCCGCAGCTGAAAACACGAGAACATCCACTTTTGAGAACCGCGGAGGGCAAGTACGCTAGAGAAATCCGTTGTAGGCGTAATCTGTAAAACGAAGAACTTTTCTTTGGCACATCAATGGTAGATAGAAAGCATGAAGCCTCGAGGCCCGTTGCTTCACCATTGCCGCTACTGCTACGGTAGGGGTAAAGGGTACAACACTGCTCAAGAACGGGACCAGCCCCCTCCCCGCAAGATCAATGCCTCCGGAGAGCTTTTCGCAAGCGGCACACTCTAAAAAGAAAAAACGACTGCTTTGGACGTCACATGCATACTTCGATGGCATTAGTTTACAAGTAGTCATGCCAACCGCTGCTGCTGGTCCGCGAGTTACTACGTAGCACACATGGTCGCAAGGCATCTACTCTGTTTTGCAAGCTTCGAAATGTGTGTAGGCTCCTCCCCACTTTGAGTGCCATATTTTCATATTTTGGGGCTTACTCAACGGTATGTCGTGTGGTCATTCAATCTCCAAGAGAGTCCGCCTCGCGGTTGTCTGTATGTAGATGTATGTACATACGAATGCTTCCGACAGCCACCTCCTCTTGGAACCAGTCAATCTATAGGATATCACCAAGATGATATGAAGCCATGTGAGGGCATGCGCTGGCATCCCGTTGCCGTGAATACCGCATGCTACATAGGTTGCACAAGATACCGCACCCCCTGGGGCCGATTTCAAAGCTTGACTACACTCCACGCCGAAAACGATATCAACATCAAATGGTGGTTTTTCGAAAAGCTCTGGACGTTCCATCGCCGCCAATTTTCGGCACAGCAGGCGGGCTTTTCGCTGCCGAGTAATCGAGCTTTGAAATCGGTGATGGGGGGGGGGGGGGTTATCTTACGTGACAGATCGTAGGCGCTGGGAATGGTCTTTCGCCTCTCCGACGCATGTACATGTAGATACGGCCTGCGGTGTACACACCACAGATCACACAACAAAACGTACTCCACGGAGAGGACCCTACAGCAGTATTAAGGTGCTGAAGATCGCCTCATAAAATGATGCAGAATGATCGCGTACTTTTGGCTCCTGTGCTGGACAGCTTCGCTTCTTGCGGGCTGCCTCTTTTTCCGTTGACAAAGGTGAGACCACGGGAGGGACCAGGTCGTGCAAATAAGCAGATCGGATTGAGTACTAACGATCCATATATATCTACACATCGCTTGGGCTGTCCGTCATTCCACAACTTGGCGTCTGCGCTATTCTATCCCGCTCTTACAGGCAACACGGCTTGACTGGTTCCCATGATGCCAGGTATTTGGGTATTTGGATATGTTCAACCATAGACAGCTTGTGCTGTGTTGGAAAAAGTTGCGTGTATAATTGGCTGGCGCAGCAGTGCAGCAGCAATGCCTCCAATCTCTTAAAAGTATCTAGAGAGCAGGTACATATGCACGCACCAGGTAGACCAACAACAGGGGCCCGGCGAAGGTATGTATACGGCAGGTGACGGATACAGGTTCGGCGCATGAGTATCCCACGTACAGAGCGGGTTCCTGCCGTGGCAGGCAATAATCTTCAACAAGACTGCTGTTGCGCCAATCGTCATCGTCCCTGACTACATACATACAGCAGCAGAATCACGCAAAGCGTTCATGTTCGATCTTCCTGATATTGGCTTGGATATCACCTATTGAACCCTTAGGGTCGCGCAAAAAGCTCACCCGCGGTCGTGGAGCACATCGGGTGTTGGTCTGGTGGTCGAGGACATGGGATCCCCTCCCGGACGTGCGGCGGGCGGGAGGGAAGAGAGCGAGCGACTGGCTCTCGTGAGACGAAAAGGTCACGTACTTGTTCGAGGGCGAGACCTCCGAGCACATTGATGCAGCAACGTGCCGCTTTCTCGCTCTCACGTGTCTATAACCCTATAGACCCCGCGCAGGGCTACTAAGGTAAGTATGATGAAGTCTACGGCACAGTGCCACCCAGGGTAGATGGGATTTGGCTTGGCGGCCAGGACAAGAATGAATGTGAGTAGGTATTCCATGTTCCTTGTTCCTTGACACACGGACAAAGTGCCGCCTGCTGTCGGTCGGTCGTCGTGGAAATCGCACACGGTTCAACTTTGAAAACACGCAATTTTCCGGCGGCGGGCGCGATGATGCAACAGCCCAATGGGCACAATCAACACAGCATACTTGCTGTCGTAGATCGGCACCAAGCGCCTCTTCTGCATGAGTACCCACCCACCACGCGGTCGGTGCATAGAGTGAGTCCGACGTGTCTCGGTGGCTCTTCGCTCCTACAGAGAGTTTATATTCGGAACGATCCTTGTCCGCCCCGAAAATCCCGAAATTCAAAATCAAAATTCTGTTGTGAGGTTTCAACCTTGGGAGGTTATGTTTTTTTTTGGACCAAGCTGCGGTGGGGTTGCGCCGAGTGCCGGCCGGCCACGCCATCACATTCAGGACAGATCATTTCCAAACTTCACAGACCTGCCTCTCCTATGCACTATCCATTGCTGTGTGTTAGAGGTGGCCAAGGGGAGGTGACGAGTGTCACTCGTGAGTACGTTTGTAGACATGCCGCGAACAAGACGGAGAGAACTTGTTGTTCGCACGTATTTGTTCTCGTCCGTGGCGAATTCGGAAAGAAAGGTCTCTTCAGATGTTGTTGCGTTCTCGCCAACCAAACAAAGCAGAGATTTCCCGAGAGCCGACAAGAAAACTTCCAGATACATGATGACATCACCAAGCAGCCTGTTTTGGCGTGTACTTCTCAGCGGGAAGGCTACAGAGCAAACCTGTCCTACTATTGATGCTGTACCGTTGACAGTCGTGTGGTTTTGTACACGACGACGTTACCTCCTCACCCCAACCTCATCGTTATCGCCCCAATTCTCCGATTATGATATCGATCGTCGGTTTGAACGAGAGGACACGTACGTGATAACCACGTACGTGATAACCACAGAAAAAGTCCGCCACAGGATGACGCACCAAAAAGCACGAACCAGAGAAACGCCTTGGGGCAGTGTACATCGTGCAAAGGGGGTAGGTAGTGTATGCTACGGCTACTCTCAAGCTCGTATGTATGTGCAAGGCACTTGCTGTGTGCAAAAATAAAACGTACACCGCAGCATCGGCAGCAACGAGAATAACTGGAGCGGTGGCTCTTTCTCGCGCGTCTGTGTCCCAACCGCGGTAGCACCGGTACGGGTTGATGGAGTGTACCGCGATAACGGGCGAGCGCGACAGCCTGACAGGAGAAACAGGACAACCGACCGACGCCCTTTTATCAGGAGATCAACCGAATACGTACTCATGCACATGCGCGCTTGCGCAATTTGTCACTTACGTTTCTGGCTCAAGTCCGATCATGATGATTGTTTGAATGTGTGACGCCCGACGAATAAGTGTGGCAAAAAGGGGGTGTGGGCGAAAGGGTCACAGGGCCGGCTCGTTCTTGTAATCTAGACTATGTACTTCTTTGCAACAAGCATCAAACAGTCATACCAAATGACGTACGCACGGCATAACTTGCATAATGAGTACAGAGTAGTGCCAACGATTACGATCATGCATCGTCCCAACAACAACAAGGTCCGTCCGGGCGGATTTGATTGGCCATTGCTTGATTCGAACGACGCAATACACAAGGCAAACAAAGGAGAGTGTGGAATAACCTCACCCTTCGTGTTCTCCCGCATTCCACTGCCGAGTGTCTTGCTTGTTTGAACTACTGTCGTCTGCGGTCGGCTTTTCCATATTTATTTGGGACTTTCACATGTGGGGGGTGAGGCGAGTTGTGTACCATGCCACAAGCTCATCGATGCCACAATATTACTGCGCACAGGAGTCGGTGGAAATAAAAATATGGAACGGTCATGTTTGGCGTAGAGGCGAGAGAGACGGTCAGTCAGTGCGTTCACTTCTGTTTCGACCATCCCTTCCTTCACAAGAGGTTGGGTGGGTAGGTTTTCTCACGCCCGCCAGGACGAAGAAGCTGTCATCCAAAGCAGTACGCACGGACGTAGAGGGAGAGAAATGTTAACATCTAGCCTGATGTAGCAACAGGGCATCATTTATCATCGTCGATCGTCAAGTTCTTGGGAAAAGTATCTAGGGTAGGAGGGCGGGCGGGGAAGGATGGAGGTTGTCTACTGTGTCCAAAGATCTCATCCACTCATCATTTGCTCCCTCACGCAAAAGTGCATGTATGTATGCATGATTGTAAGAAGAAAGGTTTGCTCAATTACCGTCACAAGTGTTGCAAGGGCTATCAAGTTTTCGTACAAATAGCTTACGGTATGTTGCGCAGAAGCACCTGCGCCGAACGTGGCGGAACCTGATGACCTATCCCATATGCCCTTCTAGGCGTACTGTGCGGCCCCTAAACAATCCTTCAGGGAGACAATCTCGCCACACTTACAGATCGAAGCGTGTACGGCTTGGCAGGCATTCGAAACACCACAAAATACACCCAAACAACAACGGCGCCCGCCTCACTACCGGTTGAGATGTCATGGGTTGCCTGAGATTCTGCAGCTACGCACCCCAACCAAGCAGCCCAAGACAATGTTGACAAGAAATAACTTTTTCATTCAACCACGGACTCGCGCAAAACGTCTCGCTTCATTGATTATACTGCTGTCCCTCACTTTGCTCGCTCGTGTCGTCTTCCCAAGCACTGACGCTTGTATCAGGAACTCGAGCGAACAAGGACGATCCGTTGTGAGAAAGCAACTTACTCACGGGTACACCTTGACCTGTTCGGCCGTATCACCGCTACTGCTGTCTACAGTGTTTCGTGGCCGCATCCAGTCATCGCTGCCAACGTAGCAGACGGTGTTCGAAACGAGACTCCCAAAAGCAACCCGCCTCCAGACGAAAGATTATACGCCTTCGTTTGGCTAGGATACGGACCCGGAGGGTGGCCTTCAGACCATCAACCACCCAGGACGCCAGACCCGACGCTACTCTTGCTTATGGCACCCCCCCCGCAAGGGACAAACCTTCTGATAGCCACGAGGAGAACCAAGCCAGGTTCACGCACAGGAGCGACAAAATCTCCGGATTCCTGCGGTACGAAAATGCCAGAAATGATAAACCTGACACAAGGTCAAGGCGTGGGGCCTTTCCTCGAAGGGTAGGTAGGTGTGTACGATCGTGTGCTGTTGCTGTACGCGACCAGCTCTTAGATTAAACCCTCAAAACAATATTCCGTTCCAAGGAGCAAAGGAATTGACGACAAAGCAGCGCCTAAGTCTTTATTTCGCCACGGTTGGCTCTTACGGCTAGCGATGGTGCACCGGATGGCCATCCAGAGACGACATGGTCCTCGCATAGGGCAGCAAGCCCTGGCGGCGGAAGCTACTACAAGCAATATCAAAGTGGTATTTGAATAACCGTTGTTTGCTGCCATACGAATACCTCGAAGGTAGCGTGCCGATGACAACCCCTGGCAACCACAGCCTCCTTCGTACGCCCGCCAATTTAAGCACTACTTCGTTGTCCACGAGGTGCGTGTAGCAAGGCAGTAGAAGGCGCCGTGGTGAGACTGAGGGGGGGCGCTAATCATGGCAGTTGGCAGCGCTGTCCTGTCGCCGGCAAGGAGGGTATCTCGTGACCCTTGCTCTTCCGAGCAGAGCGTAGAGAGAGCAAGAGAGACAGGAGGAGAGAGAGATAGATCGAGGGAGAGAAACAGAGAGCCAGAGAGCCAGAGACAGAGACAGAGACAGAGACAGACAAACCATGGAAAGAAGAAGGCAGGTAAAAGAGAAGGCAGTTTAGCTCGAATATTTTTACTTCGAACCCTGCATACGCATATCGCGTTTCTTTTCGTGTCGACATATGTATATTGCCAGGCACCGCCGTAGTGAGCGGTGGCTCGAATGACAGCCCCATCAATTCGACTATTTTCAGCCTGTGCTCGAGCCACATCATCAGTTGCCATTATACTGCTGTTGACACTCGTCGCCCGTGCGGAAAGTATCAGACTAGACGGCGGGAGCTATGGGGTACTAGAATACAGTACATGCAGTACCTCCACTTTCCCCCCACCTCATTTTTTGTGAGGGCCGAGTCAAGACACTCATCTCCTTTCACACGGTGACTTGCTCAAGTACAGAGATCAACCTCAGGGATTGGTGCGTTCATCATTGATGATGACGTGATACGGCGCGGTGCTGTCAGAGCGAAAAATGTTTTTTACCCGACAATATAGTTGACCCGCCCGACGGACCCTCCTCTATTTAGAAAATTTCCTACAGTCACTGGCTGTTTAACTACCCGTTCGAGAGATATTATGCATCCCACGGTCGAATAGATGTGTTGAAGTATTTTGGGACTGGTGCTCGTTTGCACCTTCGCACCGTTATTCATCCCAAAAATCTTGTGCAGGGATTTGCGCATGATATCCATCGTCCAAACACAGCGCTTCATGTTATGTAGGTTGAAGCGTTTCACCACTACGAAATACCTTTGCTGCATGAAGAACTGCAAGAAGAACTTTGTGACGGCAAGGGACAATTCAGCGTGCTGTGGAGTGCAGTGCAGTGTGGAACAGAGCAACTATCATACAAAATGATGGAATATGTCATTACGGGCCCGCGGTTGCGTCGATCTTGGGCTGTACGTTCTCTACCGACTCTATTCTCTATCTCATCAACCTACCTTTCGCTTTTGAGAAGACCACTTGTTCGAGTTTCTCACCAATTGACGACGAAGAAGAATCTTCACCCCCTGTTCAGCCTCCCGTGGGCAACCCGACGACACTACAATGATTGGTTGCGGCGGCGACATCGACACGGACCGACAGCGCAAGCGACACACGGGGCTCCGCGGTGTACAGATTTCATTTGTATTTTGTGCTACATATCCACGTCAATTCTCCTACGCGAACCCCCCTCTGTCTTCGCCGCAGGGGCGCAGATCATCATCTGTCGGTGCTCCGCTGCTGCGTTCGTTGCCTATCTAGCTTGTTGCTCTCTCCTTCCCTTTCTGTCTGTCAACCTTCGAGGGGGTCTTCATTACGTTAGGTGAAAAGGAGAATGCAACCTCGGACTTGGCCTGGTTGACCCTCAGAAATATACAGAGGGCGAGCTGCGAGACGGCAACACGGCCAACCATCGCAAGATAGCACAGCGACAGTGAGAGCACAGGCTCGCAGCACAACACCACACCAGCAGCAGCTGCACGCCGTAGAGCACCCTGCCGCAAAATTAGCAGCAATAAGACACGCTCATCACGAACGGCAGTTCTTGCACTCGTTGGCGTACTACATACTGACCAGCTGCAACCTCTGCTGTTCCACGGCGAGCATCGAGCAGCGGATCATCATCGCGTCCTGCTGCTATCATGACGTCCACCGCAATCTACACGTGCTACCGGCAGCTGCACCCGCCGACAGGTGTCGACCACGCCGTCTTCGGCAGCGTCACCGCCGCCGGCTCCCGCGACCTGGTCGTTGCGAAGGCCTCCACCCTCGAATTGTACCGCGTGCATCGGGACGACCACAGCTCTACTGCCGCAGCAGCAGCAGCAGCAGCAGCAAGGGATACGAGCAACGGCGATGAGAGAGACGACGACGATGCAAGCGGCTACTACCTCGAGCTGGCGGGCACCTTTCCCCTGGCAGGAAACATCACCGCCCTGGCCGTCATCCCGGTGGCAACGGGCACTTCTTCCACCACGACGCAGCAACAGCAGCAGCAGCAGCAGCAGCAGCAGGACATCCTGGTAGTCTCCTTCGGCGTCGCAAAGATGGCCCTCGTGGCGTACGACTCCGTCCTCGGCCGCCTGGAGACTATCTCCATCCACAACTTCGACGCGGGCGCGATTGGCCCCGGGGCCGGCGGGGTGGAGTCCGGTTACGGTCTCGCCGCCGCCCTGAAGGATCGACCCAGGACCATCTCCTCCAGCGACCCGGCCGGCCGCTGCCTGGCGGCGGTCGTGGCCGGCTGCCAGCTCGTCGTTCTCCCCGCCCGGCGGCACGTGCCCGGCTCCGTCTTCGTGAGCGAGGAGGCCAAGCGGCGGCAGCGGCGGGTCCTACGGCTCCGCCGGCGCGCAGTGGTAGCGGCACGAAGAAACAACGCAGCGGGGGCGGGAGAGAGTGCGGCTGGCGGTGTGGCCGGTGGTGTTGACGACGGGAGCGATGACGACGGCGATGACGACGGCGACGACAGCGTGAGCGCGAGGGAGAGCGATTCCGAGGGGGAGGAGGACGGGGGGCTGGGGAACGGGGCGACTGCGAAGGGTGACGGCGGCGCGGGGGGGAACTTGGCGGTGTCGAAGCCTTTTACAATAGACCTAGAAGAGGCAGGCATTACCGGGTGAGAGGTCGCTATGTATGCCACCTGAATCTGCCGTTTGCCCAATCCATACTGAATCACATTCCTTCTTGTATATAAACCTGACGTGCCCAACCAGGCAGCATCCGACATGCCCCCTTGTATCTGATACGCTGTAGCTTCTCCAACGACTTGGCTCTCTGGCAGCGCATGCACTTGTACCTCTCGCTTATCGCTACCCTGTATTTGATGTAGCTTGCCTGGCGATGCAGACAATGACGGCTTTACTCGTCTTTTCTTGTTTGGCTTGGCAGGTTCATCAAGGCTGCGGCCTTCCTCGAAGGGTTCCACGAGCCGGCGCTGGCGTTGCTGTACGAGCCGATCCAGACGTGCGCGGGCCGGTTAGCGTCGAAGCGATCGACTTGCAGGCTGGCCTTGCTGTCGATCAACTTAACGCAGGTGGTTGCTTGCTTCCCGAGTCGATAGGCGGGGCCACCGTCCTCTGTGTTAGGATTCACCGTAGATTACGACGGTTTCCTCCTCCGGAACTACTCTTGAACCGTTCGATCCTGCACTTGACCTGCCCCACCGTTTTCCGCTTGGTCGACCACCGCTACTGTACTGTTTGTTCCGCGTGGATCTATCATGCGTCTCTGCACCACGAATAGAAACATGAACGGACATTTAGCGATACGCACGCTGCGCACGAAGCATTTTGTTCTCAAGATATCCCCGGCCAAACATGTTCCGGGCTTTCTCCGTTGCTGATCGCGATATTTTGTACGTTGTATATTTGCTACGTCGGGTGGTGCTGCTCTTGTCTCAGGGCCGGGCACCGGTGATATGGCAGGTGGAGAACCTGCCCCACGACAGCTGGGACTTGGTACCAGTGCCCTCGCCGATAGGGGGGCTGCAGGTGAGCAATACTACCGCTGTCGCGAAAAACACGTTTGAGTCCCTCCTCGCAGCTGCAGAGGTAGTTTCCATGACACAAATAAGCACAGCAGCAGCGGCAACAGCACGTAGATGCCAGCGTTCCAGACGTAAATTAAGGAGTATGATTATTTTGAGTGTGCTTTATTTGAGAGAAAAAAGTGTCGAGTACCTGCTACCCTCAAGCGGACGCTCAGTAATTGCACGTACATGCTGCCTGAGCACGATAATGCTTATTGTGTTGATCTTCTCACCTGACTCACCGACTGGTGCCGCACCCCTTCCCTTCAAGGTGATTTCGACGAACGCCGTGATGCACGTCAACCAGTCAGAGGTGCGGTCCATACTCGCCGTGAACGGCTACGCGAGGGCCACGGTGGACCCGGCTCTACTCGAGTGTCCTCTGAGGGGAGGTGACAGCGACTGGGGATGGACGTCTTTCCGGTGAGGGAAGAGTAGCTGTAGCTGGACCCCCCACCGGGGTGTTTTCAGATGGTACGCACTGCTTTTTTTTCTTGTGGGCGACGTCGAAGGGATTTCAGCCCGCTATGTTGCTTTTGGCGAACTCAGGAACTCTGATATTCCCTGCAACTTGTCTTTGTGGTAAGGAATGTTGGAAGTGGTGTATGCTTCAGGGTGATCCCGCTCTTTGTTCGTGTGGCACGTCTTTCTCGCAGCCTCCTGAAGATGTTCAGCTTTTAAGACCATGCTCAAGACTATGTCCTTCGGGATATTTGATGTATGTCCACATTCAGAATTACCTCAGCAGACACGCCCTCAGCACCCTTCCAGTTACTTTTCCGACGTATGGAGGTCGGTCAGTACTCAAGCCTGATCCCGCCTTCGAAGTATAGCTTAGAACCCTCTGAAATTCAGTTCGAGAGGTTTCAGACGTGGCTGAGAAATGGGTAAGATTAAGATTGTCGCGAGAGTGATGTTTGATTTCAGCGGGAAGGTTTGCACAATCGTGACAGCTTTTCGAGAGACTCCAATCGGAGAGCGAGACACTGGCCCTGCGCCCAAGCTCCTACTCGCACCATCTTCATTCTGTCGACCCCCCCCCCCCCCTGCTGCCCTGCTGTCCGTGCTGCGTACCCCCCCCAGACGCTCCCACCCCGAGAGAGAGGTGGTAGACCTCAGCTCGTACGACGTGTGCATCGAGCTCGACGTCGTGCGTTGCGCCTTCCTGACGCCCACGTCGATGCTGCTCTCCCTTCGCACCGGCGAGGTCTACGCCCTCCGCCTTCACCTGACTACGGTCACAGCCGCCGCCGCCGACGCCGCTGGGTGCAGCCGGCCCCCCGGAGGCGCGGCCTTCGGCACGCCTAACCGTGTCGTGGGGCAGTCCATGCGCCCCGTCGGGAGGGCCTCGCCTTGCTCCGTTCTCGCGGTGGCGGCGAGCGGCGGCAGCGGCGGTGACGGCGGGAGCGGCGCTTCGAAGGGTCTGGTGTTCATGGGGTCTCGGGTGGGCGATTCGCTCCTGGTGGATTACTCCGTGGCCAGCGCGGGCACGCGGCCCGGTGGGAAGGGTGCAGCGGTGCCAAAGCGCGAGCCGAAAGCAGAGGAGGAGGAGGAGGAGGAGGATGTTGGTCAGACGGAGGGTGCGCCTGCCGCCCGCTCTTCTTCGACCACCGGCGAGAAAGCGGCCGCGGGAGCCGCCGCCGTAGGGCAACAGGGCGAGACATCGTCGGGCGGCGCTGCGGCAGCGGCACCAGCAGCCGGGGCCGGGGCCGGCGCCACCGTTAAGGAGGAGGTGACTGAGGGAGGGGGGGGAACCCTGGCTGGGATGCAGGTCGATGCGAATGTCGGTAGCGGGGACGGCAGCGCCGCCATGTCCACGAGGAGCCCCGGCGGCGACGGCAAGAAGGTAGCGGGCGATGCCGATGCCGATGGGAAGCCTTCCGAGATCACCGAGACATCTGGCGGCGGTGCCGAGATTGCCGACGGGCCCGGGGCGGTGACTTCCCCGCCGATCGAGAACGGAAACGATGGCAGCCCTGACCCTCCAGCGGCAACGCCGACCAAGCAGGAGGCGGAGGCGTTATCATCATCCCCGCAGCCCGATGACGGGGAAGAAGCAGGAGAGGGGAAAGACGCGGGGTCGAGGGGAGGCAGCGCGAAACGAGGTCGCGCGGAGCGGCCATCCTCCGGCGGGGACGTCGGTGCGGGGGACAACGACGGGCAGCCGGACAAGAAGAGGTCAAGAGTGTCCGCTTGTGCCGACGGCGAGGATGACGCCGCCTCGTCGGGGGAGGCAGTCCCGGCCACAGAGGAAACTACGGCAACGGCAGCAGCAGCAGTAGGCGGTGCTCCTGCTAGTACCGCCGTTGGGGGGGAGGAGGGTGCGGAAGCGCTAGGTGACGGGGTGGCAGCCCCGACCGTATCGTCGGAGAGTGGACGTCCCGCAGCGGCAGACGCCGCGATTGATCCGACGCCGCCGCCGCCAACCACGGCTCCGGCTGTCATGCTCAGCAAGGAAGAGCAGGAGATGATCGAAGAGGAGGAGCAGCTATACGGGGCGAGAATAGGAGCTTCTGCTTCCGAAGGGGCTGACGGTAGCGGGGGCGAGGCCGCTCTCGCCCGGCTGGGATCCAAGGACGGGGAACGGGTCATAGAAGCGGTTGGCTTCCGGTTGAAGGTGAGAGGTAGGGGGGGCACGGTGTTGGGAACGGCCGGCAACACCACTGGAGCACCGCGGCCTTTCTTTTTTGGTCGTGCCGTTGGCAGTAGTTTGCCTGCCGCACTGACGGGTTGAACGCATACGGTGCTCATAAAGGTTGCTTGAGAGCGAGCGGACTCAAAGGGATGGCAAGTCGATCCCGCTCCAACTACCCTTCACTTTCTTCTACCCCGGGGGGACTTCTCTCCCACCCCCCCTACCCTTCCGCCCCATCGCTTCGGGCCCACTCTGTTCCGTGTTTCATGCGTGCAACAGGTGGTAGACTCCATCTGTACGCTTGGCCCCATAGTGGATGCGGCCCTTGTGCCGTCCGCGTATCACGTCCCCAAGACAACGAAGCTCGCCGGTGGCGGAGGCGGTAACCGTTCTCGGGGTGGTCATGGAGGCAGAGGGTCCGTTCCAAACGGAGCGGCGGCGGCGGCGGCGGCGGTGGCGGGCGGAGGTACATCCGGGGGTGGTATCCGCACGAGCTTGGTGTGTGCGGCCGGTTACGGGGGGCAAGGGTCGCTTGCGGTGTTCTCTGCTGGGCTTCGAACCGAGGTGACATTTGCTGCTGCCGCTGCTGTTGTTGTTGTTGTTGTTGTTGTTTCTGCTGTTGTCGGTGGTGTTGGTGTGATATTTGGCGATAAATTCCGTTCATGTCTTGGGGACAGCAGACCAGCTGCCTTTGGAGCTGGGTATTACGAGCGGGCGGTTGCAAAGGAGCACTTCGGCAGAGAACCGAAGGCAGATGCGCTCCACCCCTGCCTTCTACGCAATCATAGCGTTCGGGTTTTCTTTGTTTCCATGGAGAATCTGTGTCTACACCACGCAGTGTGGATTGTGCCAGTACATGTCGGGTGCTGTTGCCATGCTTGACAGAACCATCGCCTTCTCCTCCGAAGAAAATACCTCGAAACGTGTTGCTATCTTTGGACAGGAGATGCATTTTTTTTACTTTGTAAGAAGAAGGAACATCTAGCTAGTGGGTCTCTCCGAGTGTTTCTTTGAGGGGGCACCCCGTGGATGCTCTGCACGTAGGCATTTGCAATTTTTCGTCTCCGCGTTTTCTTCCAAGCGCTATTTTTAAGAACCCGAAATCAGCAACATCCCTAACCCACTACCTCGGTGATACACCCAACCCTCGCCACTACCCCGACTTGCACCCTAGGTGGTCGTCGAGCTGTCCGTGCCGGGCGCCACGGGTGTCTACAGCTCGTCGGAAGGCGGCGAAGGTGGCGGGGGGCCCATGGGGGGGAACAAGCGGGACACCCTCGTCCTGGTGTCCTGTTCTGCGTCACCCCCAGCAGCAGCAGGAGCGGCGGCCGCTGGAGGCGACACCCGGGCGGGCCACACGCGGGTGCTCGCTTTCGAGGAGGATGCTAAGGTGAGTTAGGCCTTTGAGGCCTTGCAAGCGTCTCTAGTGCGGAGGATGCGGTCGCTAACGCCGAAGCTCCGAAAAGCTGTCGGTTTTGACGAGTATCGGTATTCGAGGCCTTGCCTGTCGGGGTGTGCGTGTTTTTTGCCCCCCCCCCAGGTGTGTGCCCTCGCTCGGGTTTTCGTCGCTTGGCAACGACGTTGTAAAAGAAGCCAAGTCACTTCGTGAACTCGGCAACCAAGTTTCCGTTTTTTTTTTTTACCTCGGTTTTTTTTTTGGCGGTAACCATAATGGTAGTCGAGTAGATCATGTTGTGCGGGGTGGAGAAACCTCACTCCGCGCAAGGGGGATGATCGCACCACGTTGTGTTAAAATGGTCAAGCATCCTCGAGGCAGCTACACAGTGTTTATAACTGTCTCTGGAAGTGAAAGCACCAGAAAATAAATTAAGTCATACGCAGCTGTCATCCGTATGCAAGGAAGTAAGCACAAGATGCCGAACACCCTTAGCAGGATGTAGCTCACCCTTCATGCGACTCGCCGAATACTTCACGGCGCTTCGCGCTTGGTGATGTGAGAGCCTGGTCCGGTGAGAACCTGGCGTGCTCCGTCCCGGCTTAGTAGGGATGCGAGGTCAATGGTCTAACGACTACGGCATGCACGACGATGAGTATGAGTACACCCCCCCCAGGTGTGTGTGGATGTAGGTCACTCACGACGAAGCTTGCCGGCTATGAATGAGAAACATTTGAGACTTGAGCGCCACGAATCTGACGCAGGAGAAAAACGTTAAGAGAAAATACAGCTCCTTATTTGCAGAAGTTAGACCCATGTTTATGGTCGCCCAATCTTTGAAAAAAATCTTCAAATGTTGTCAAACATTTGCGCGGGAATATCTGCCAGAGGAACATTTGAGTACCGTTTTTATGGGCCAAAAAAATCTTCATCGTGTGGTTTTCTCGAAATGCATCGCACGTGCGGCGGGAATCGTGGTCTACTGCTACCAAACGATTTGTGACAGACAAACCACAAATGTGTCATGGAAACTGAATGTAACGAGCTCGCAAAGGGCTCCCCACAACCCTTGATGCACTGAGCTGATGCTGTGCCCGCCAATATGTGGCGATAGCGCTCCGGGCGTGCGAGAAAAAATGTTCTCGGTGTCAAAAAGAGACCAAAACGTGCGTCAGCGCTTCCCAACGGCAAAAAGTCGGCCGCTTGAGAGGACACGTGAGTACAAAACTATCCAGCTCTCGTCCTCTAGACCATCGATTCATGTTTTGTCTTCTTGGGTGTCTTCTCCATCAACGACTCTCATCCGGGTGTGCGTGGGTTGGCAGTGGCCGCGCTCAGCCGGCAGGGAGGCACATCGTTATGCGCGCAAAGTTGTGGACACAACGTTTTTTTCGGTCTGTTTTTTCACTTGAATATAGAGGGCTTGTTCCTCCGTCCCAAAAAAGACTTTTTCAACACATCGAGTTCACAGCGACGCTGTTGAGTACTTCCACTGCTGAATCACGCACACCCGGATGAGAGCCGTTGATGGAGAAGACACCCAAGAAGACAAAACATGAATCGATGGTCTAGGGGACGAGAGCTGGATAGTTTTGTACTCACCTCTCCTCTCAAGCAGCCGACTTTTTGCCGTTCGGAGACACAAACCACGTTTTCTCCGTGCCCTCCAAACCACCCCTGTCTGTTTTTTTTTTGTGCACGCTTGACGAGCTCCCGCCATGTATCAGCCGGCAAAACATTGACACGGTGACTCTAGGGTTGTCCGGATCCCTCTATGAGCTTGCTACGTTGAGTGTGCGCTGCGCAGTGGTTGGTGTTTAGGACGGAAGGGGCGGTCGGCTACTAATCTCGCCGCTCTTGGGAAACGTTTTCGCGACCTGCCCCATTTCATATTGTTTGAGAATATTTTGTCAAACGAGCGACTTTTGCCCCATTTCAAAATGTTTGAGAATATTTTGCGGAAGATTTTCTCCCATAAACAGTGAAACAAAATCTTTATCCGCAAATCTTTGAAAATATAATCATTTTCGCAAAGATTTGGCGTCCAAAAACATGGGTCTTAGGGGAGATTTTTTTTTGCGTTGACAGGCGTGGTGTGGAAGTCAGGGGATGATTCCCAAGCGTCCCCTGGTTACCGTTGAAATGTTATTGTGCACCAGGCCCTTCCTATGGTATTGGGCTAACAAAGAAGACTACATATCTTACTATATCCCATTTGTCCAGACGTGAAATATGTCTGTCGAGGAACAGACTGGTATTTTTGCGCCCAATTGTGTACACGGACTACAAAGACGACGCCGATTGAGTTTTTTTTTGTTTCGGTACTGGGTCACGTCTTGTGCATTCCCCACTTTTATCGCTTGTCGTTTGTCAAGCACTGAGGGATTCATGGAAGTTCGGTGGAAATTCAGTGCATATTTCCACGGTTCAGACTCGACCCGCGGAACGGGTCGGCGAGAGTTCCATGTTCCAACCTTGAAGTGAGTCCCGTGCTGCTTCAGACGTCGCGGTTAGGTTCCGTCGTCCGACCCGTTGGACTTGACCCGGCGCCGGCACGTAGGGTGCCCCGCAAAATCGACGACGAGATCGAACGTCGATTCGGCGTCACCCCTGACGGACACGCACACTCTTCCTTTGGGTGTTCCGTCGTGGTATGTTTCCGGTAATTTTACCGTACCGTATACCGTGCAGGTGGTGGAGCTTCCGGAGGGGGACGGGAACCCGTTCGTGTGCGATGCAGCGACCGCGGATGTGTGCTCGATGGCTGGAGGCACGGTCGTTCAGGCACACAAGCAGGTGATCGGGGCGGGTGTTGATGTCGTGGACGAAACGCCTGGGAGGAAAAGGGGCGGTAGGCAATTGTTTTGAGGGGGGGGGGAGTTCAAGCAGGATATGCTGTGCCACGATTATTCCTTGGTTGTTATTTTTCGCTTGTGATTGTTGCATTGGCTGCTGTTGTTGCCGGGCCGGTTGTTTCTGTCTCTGTTGCTGCTGTTGTAGCTGTTGTAGTACTTCTGGTTGGTGTTGGTCATGACAGTAATAGTTGTCAGGCCGATCTTATTTTTGCGTTCTGTCCCTCACTCCCCCGCTCTTGAAACTGACATGCACCTCCCAACACTTCCCTCCTCACCCCACTAAACCAACAACGACATAGGGCCTCCGGGTAACCCGCAATCGAGACCCGGTACAAGACGTCCTCGCTTCCGAGGATCCCGACCTAGGCGGGCTAGGGGCAGACGCCGGTGTCACTGTCTTGAGGGCCGCGGCGGCAGGGTCTCACGCCTGCTGCCTCTTGTCCAATCTCCGGCTTCATCTCATGGCGCTCGACGATGGGGACCTGATGCCCGTTGGCTCTGTAGAGGAAGCGGGGGAGGAGGGGGAAGGCGGCGGTGGTGTTTGGGAGGAGGTGGAGGCGGTGTGCATGTTTGGTGTACAGGTGCGTTTTAGCGACGCGTGGGGGGTTTGGTTTTCGCTGCTGGCACGGCAGGGTGAAATGTGTGATCTGGTTGGATGCCCGCCTTGTAGGGGTCTGCAAATGGGTTGTGTTTGCCGGGGGGGGGGGGGTTCGGGAACTTTCGGCGAGTTCATGGTACTCTTGCCTGCCAATATGGTGTGTTTACACCCAAGACGAGCTGTGTATCGATGCAAGGTTGTAGGTTATGGGTTTCAGGTGGCAAGTTGATGTTGTTCTCGAGGTCCCTGTTTTTCCGGCTCAGACTTGCGCTGTTTGTCAAGTGCTGATGGTTCTCCAGGATATGACATCCCCTCTCACGACACAGCTCGTCTTGTTCGGTCCGCTCTCGTTTCTGTGCGTGTCTACGGTGCCCCCCCCCCCCCCCCAGGAACCAATGGCAGGCCCCCCTTCGACAACAGTACCCCCGGCTTCCACCTCGGCAAGTCAGCAGCGACGTTAACGTGCTGCAGCAGTCCGAGCCGGGGGCACCCCCCGCGTCGGACTATTCTTGGAGAGAGCGAGAGGCGAGTCACGCGAGGACGAACAGGAGGAGGAGGAGGAGGAGGAAGAAGACCTAGGGGCCGGCCTCGTTGACGACGAGGAACGAAGACGACTTCGACGACGACGGTGGGAAGGGCGGCGGGTACGACTCCGAGGAAGAGGAGTGGGCCGCTCTCTACAGTGCGGAGCCCGGGAGGAGTATTCCTTAACCCCTGCGCCAACGGCGGCGGCGGCGGCGGCGGCGGCCAGATCTCCGGCGCCGCCGCTGCTGCTGCTTCAGGTTCGTCGAACGATACATCTGCTGCCGGGGGGGTCGCAAATGGTCAGAAAGGGGGTTCGGTCGGGGAACAGTCTCCGGAACGGTACGAGGAGGAGGGCCTCCCGGCGCAGAAGGGTTGGTGGGGGGGTTCCGCGTGGGGAGAGGCGGGTGGTTCTGGTTCAGAACCAACTGCTCCCGGTGACGACGGCGAAGAAGCTGGTTCTTCGAACGGCGAAGCGCGCGTCGAGCACGTACGTGCGTATGTGGTCGTGTGTCGGAGGGGGGGCACCGTGGAGGTATTCTCGTGCGAGGGGGAGGGCGCGGAGGAGACCAGGGCGCGCCCGGTGTTCCGAGCAACCGGTGCCGCGCTCGCGCCGCCCACGCTGTGGAACGAGCTGCTGTTGCCCCCGGCGGTTGCGGCAGCGGCGGCGGCATCGGATGATGATGATGAGGAGGAAGGGTCATCTTTGGCCAAGGGCGGTGGACGGGGGTCCGATGGGAACCGTTCTCCGATGAATGACGATGTTGAGGAGGAGGAAGCGGCGGGTGGTCTAGCGGTGGCCACTGGGATTATCCTGGCCAATGGCCGGAGAGGCGCGGCGGGGAGAGGGGGTGGGAAGAAAGTGGACGGCGAGGCTAACGGCGCCGGAACTGCGGCACCGTCGTCCGACCCCATGGAGGTAGACGACGGTGCTACTGCGCCCGACTCCGCCGCCGTCGACGCTAGTGCCTCCGGCGAGGCACCGTCGGCCCCTGACGAGACTGTCGAAAAGGCGGGGGCCGATGCCGGTGGCGCGGCGGCGGCGGCGGCGGAGGAAGAAGATAGCGTTGTGTGCCCGGCGGTGACGGACGTTATCGTACACCCCGTCGGTGCCGTCGGCGGGCCGCCCGAGCTGCGGCGGCTGGTGCTCGCGATGCACCTGGATAACGGCAGCCTGCTAGTATACGAGGCCCGGATGGTGGTCTCACCCTTGGCTGCGTTTGGGGGCCGTGAGCAGGTGTGTGTATGTGTGTGAGCACCGACCGCACTAGCCGGCTGACGAACGAACATCAATTTGTCTTTCTCGCGCTTCGCCGAACGACCCACCCATCTGTACGTCGTCCCCAGCAGACTCCTTCACATCTCTTGAGCTGCCCCCCCCTCCCCCCCACACACGGTCGGTCCTCTCGAGGACGCGTTGGCCAATGGTCCAACCGCTAAGGCATGCTCCCCCCCCCCTACCCCACACGACAGGTTGTCTGCTTCTCAAAGCTCAGTCACGACCTCATCACCCGTCCCGTGAAGGGAGTTCCGCCGGAGGCGGCGTTGTTCGACCCGGGAAGGGGGCGCGCCCTGAGGGGCGTTCGATCTGCGGCTGGTCAGGAGGGGGTCTGCTTTGCTCGACCGGGCTGTCGGTCTGCCTTGGTCAGTTTTTGTGTATATACTTTTTCTTTGGTCAGCTTTTTTTGATACTTTCTTTGGTCAGTTTTCGTTGTGTTTCTTTGGCTAATTTTTGTTTTTTGAGGTTAGACGTGCTGGGTTGTTTGTTGCGCTGTCGTTTTTGTTGTTGATGATGGTTCGGGTGTGTGTTGCATATTTAAGCGATGCGAGAGACTGAGACAGTTTCAACCATGGTTGATCACTTGTGATGCAGCGATTCCCCTTCTCCACAGCAACTACCAAATGGTCCTGCGTACCCCCCTTCGCCATCGCCACCACTAATGATCAAGAGTACCCCCCCCCCCCCCCCCCTAATTTTATTCAAAATTCCCCGGAAAAAGGGGGGGGGGGGGGGTCCCCCCTTTCCCCAGAAAACCCTGGAAAACGGTCCGGGGGCCCCCCCTTACCCCCCGGGGCCCCCCCCTTTTGGGGGGGAAAAGGCCTCGGCTCCCTCGCCCCGCTATATAACCCGGAACCTTTTCCGGGGGGGGGGGGGGGGGGGGTTCCCCGGGGCACGGGGGGGGGGGGGGGGAATTCTTTTATCTCCGGGGCCCCCGGAGGGTTCCATAATTTTAAATCCAGAAACAACCGGGGGGGGGGGGCTCCGCCGGCGGGGGAGCGGGGCTTTCTTTTCGTAAAA